CAATTTGAGTTTCATTTAAAAAATTCCACTCTCCATAGAAAACAGTATGAATAGTTATATCAGAAGAAAAAGGATCTTTGGAATATATCTCATTTATATTCCACGTCATATACTACAGAATATGACAATCAAAATAATAAGTTCAGGGAACGAGAACACAAGTGTGGACAATCGAATGTATTTGAACTCAAAATTATAGAACATCTTAGTAAAATCTGATAACCATAGAGTAAATATCAATCAACCGTCTCAAACTTGATTGTTCCTTTTGTAAATATCAGTCAATCGTCTCAGAGTTCAATATTCCTGCATTTCCATACCAATTGTTTTCTGTTTCCTTTCTTCCTTCTTCGATTTTCTCAAACTTCTTCCATCAGACATTCCATTCCTGACTAGAGTTATTTACCACTTTTGTCGATATAAATAGCACACACACCAGATAAGTGCTTTTACAGTTTTAAATTTTCTGATTAGAAAGAATTCATTTTCAAAAGGGGATCGTGGGTGCGCATTGCTGAGGAGTGCCATACTAGAACGAAACGGCCGTCCAGTGCTTCCAGGTTTTCCATGGTGATCTAGCTTCGATTGACTCATGATTTTAACTATTGAGAATTCATTTTGCAGTTGTTTTTTTTAATAATTGGTCAAATCTATGTACACTTAAAATGCTTTTTTTTATTACAAGTAATTAAGTATTCAAAGCTTTGTTTAGGTCAGAGAATTACTTCAGTAGAAAATTGGGATATACACATAGACATCTTAAAGATCTATTCACCTATTTGAAGATAATTTTTCAAGTGTTCGAATAAATTTTTATATTTTATCCATTTTAACTTTTTTTGGGGGGGGTGGGGGTAATGGGTGGATACTTTATGAATAAGTTATTAAACATATATATACTTAATATTATTCCCTAAATATCCTTGATACAAATATACATATGCTTGACCTGATCTTTTGAGAATGGAAACTACGCCCGAAAATAATGAACTACTTATCTATAATCAGTTAGTGAAGCATAGATATTATGTTATTGAATAAGAAGAGTTAATCGATTGTAGATTAATGGTTGAAGTATTTTTGAACTTCTATAAAAATGTATAACATTCTTATAGAATCTCAAAAGATCAACGATCATATGAATTAGACAAATAGAATAATTGAAATAGTTTGGCTGTTATTTTTTCATTCTATCCAATTGGTGGTATTGTAGTGAAGGAGAACACGGGTGGAGACAATCGAATGAATTCAGCACAAAATTACAGAGTTACTCGGTAAAATAGAAGGACCATATAGCAAATCGTTAGTTTGCGAAATATCAGTCCATCATATCAAACCGGACTGTTCCTGTTGCAAACATCAATCAATTGTCTCACATTTCATTGTTCATGCGTTTTCTTATAAATTGCATTGTGTTCCCGATCTTCCTTTCTTGATCTTCCCCCATCTTCTGCTGCCAGACATTACGTTTTTAACTCGTGCCATATACTACTTACACCATTATAAGTAGCACGCACCACAGTCCAGTTAAATGACATGATTTCGATTGTATACATAGGAAGCTATTATCAGTAAATATTTCTTTAGATCATCAGGGGCTTTATAATAACTCTTCTACAATCAATTTCGATTATGGTTCATTTTTGTCAAACTATTTTATTCACTTATTTAACAGACGGTAACACACAGTAACAATCCATCTATCGTTGTATTATTATTATGGTCACTATCATATTTGTATAAACGTGTACGCCTGATCACATGTGACAGCCTACGCTTGAATGTTAATCGCTTAAATATCTCACGATGAATCATTCTTTTTCCCATGTATATTATTTGCCTGAATCCTATTAATAACATTTGCCTTGTCTAGTTGCTCCTTGATTCAATTTGACGATAAATTCGCCTCTGTATTCGCTCGATCACTCACATATTAGACTCTTTGCTCCGAATTCGTTCGATGTACTTGTAACTATATTATCTATGCTATCCGTTAATAAATTGTAGTCACCGCTTCTTATTACCTTCTGAACTCTCATATCATCGGTATTTATACGGTAACGGTTATCAAGGTGATTGGTAAATGAAACATAACGAATGGTCTCGAAGCCAAACCATCACAGATTCACTAGAATATTATTTTGGAATTATTAACTAAAGTAGCGATATGAATTTTACTATTGAACAATATTCTATCGATAAACTAGCAATCTAAAAATGCATTTTGTTTTGTTCTGACATTTAGAAAATCCGTTTTCTTTTTCAAGCGATTACAGTGTTCTAATGGGAGAATAAAATTCAGATTGTACATACATTCAAGCAATAATATCTATGTTATAATTATCACTATACTCCTGTTTGATTACTATAAATAATATTAAACTTAATAATGTAATATTTATTTGAATACATAAGTATTAGTACAAAGGGGTATCAAATACATATGCGCCACACAAGTCACTTGACTTGTCTGTAGGCTGGGATACTGTCCAGTTGACCAAACCGAAACAGTTGGCTTTCTTAGAGAGTCACACCCAGAACCTTCGACCTAACGGTTTGATCCACAAGGCAGTGGAGCAACGCAAGCAAATGCAGTCCCATGATAGGTTCACACGCCATTTATTCTTTCAGGATTCTGGAGCCCATGTACATCATTGGTTAGGAATCAGGATTTTCCAACTCCCCTACGTAGATCGTCCATATCTACCAACTTGGTTAAAGTTCCGTCCTCTCAATTTCGTAAACAACACCCCACAGCGTGAAGGCAATGAATAGAACTTCCCTGGCAATGGCTATATACTCGTGGCCATGTGAGAGTATTTCGTGAGGGAAAACAGAATCTCATTGTTGGTCACATAATCTATGAAAAATATGTAACTTGTTCCGTTTTATTGTACATTAAATAAAGCGAACTGAACACAGTTTATAGACATTTTACCAACTTTACATCACTTATCGTAATTTGAAAGATAATTATCATTCGATGTTTACAATTCAACAAACTATATAAGTAATGGCATACTAATGTATTTTTGATAGAAGATTCATAAAACTATTAAGAACAAGAAAGCAATACTGTGTATATATAGCAGCTTGTTAGGGAGGTAGATGCGTTTGATAATACTGTCGATCAGTAAAGGTTAAAGTATAAGTTAATGTTTCTCATTGTCAGTTATTTTAAGAATTGACATAAAGACACACAAGTTGATATTTACATAACTTATTGTTTTTAGAATTAATTTACTGTTAATTATTGATATCAGAAGGGTTTTTGTAGATACTGTAGTAATTTCTATGGTTGAGATCATGAGTCAATTGAAGTTAGACCAACATCGAAAATCTGGAACCACTGGACGGCTGATTCGTCGTATTGTGAGACTCCTCAGCAGTGAGCATTCACGATCACGCCTCGAGGGATTTTCTAAAGATTATATGAGTAATGTTAATTTGATTAACTCAGTAAGGGGACTTGTGGAGATTTTAGTATTTTTAAAAGTTCAATTCACGAATCAATCATTATTGAAAACCTGGAAGCCCTGGACTACAGTTTCGTCCTAACATAAAAGAAACCGTGACTAGTAGAATCCTATACGTGTCAGGTGTGTGACATTTATCTCTCTCGAACAATCAGTTATGGGTTGCTCAAGATCATAGGTTGATTTAAGTTGAGGCTTCAAAAACACATCAACTGTAAGATTAATCCATTTTCTGTAGAGGTTGACTATTGTGCTTCGACAGAGACTAATTTAAAAACAGCTTATATTGTTATAGACGAGCACTCCATTTTAACATTAGATTTTGGCTTCTAGCTAACTAAGGTATTACTTTATTAATCAATGCCTGACCATTATTGAAAACCTGGAAGCATTGGACGGCTGTTTCGTCCTACTGTGGGGCCCCTCAGCAGTGCGCACCCACGATCCCGCTCTTGAGATTCGAACCCAAGGCCTTCAGTCTCACGCGCCGACGCTTAAACATTCTATGCCTGACCACTGGTATATACTACTTATATGAATAGAAGTAACCCACACCACAATATCAACTAAGTTGACTGGTTATTAATCGTGTTTGATGAGGATCCTAGCACATGATAAATTTAATGGGGGAAGATAAATTCATTAAAATTTATGTCTGTGGTCAGACATATATTTATTATTATTATTGTTTGTAAGGCCTACTATGAAAGCATCATCAGTGAACAAGGAAGATCAGATGAAAACGTAAAGGCGATGATTGGTAAAGTAAGGACCGCATTCCTACAATTAAAGAACATATGCAACTCGAAACAACTGTATGTCAATCAAATATCAAAGTCAGAATCCTCAATACAAGCATCAAGACAGCTCAACTGAACGGAGTTGCAATTTCAAGAACTACCACGACCATCATCAAGAAGGTACATGTGTTGACAAATAATCGTTTACACAAGATACTCAACATCCATTGACCGGATAAAATCAGCAAAAGCCTCCTGTGTGAGAAAACAAACCACCTTCCAGATGTAGAGGAAATTATGAAAACGTGATGTTGGAAATGGCTAGGACATACATTGTGCAAATCATCAAACTGCATCACGATACAAACCCTAACTTGGAATGTTGAAGGGAAGTGGAAAAGTGGTAGGCCAAACAACATATTACGTTGGGAAATAGAATCAGATATGAAGAGGATGAATGGCAAATGTAAAGAGCTGGAAATGATTGTTGAAGACTGGGTTTCATGGAGGTTGGTTGGTTGGTTGGCCTATACTCCTTCACGAGAAGTAACAGGCGTATGTAAGTAAGTAAGGCCTATTATCCCTTCGTTATGGATATACAGGAAAGAATTATAAACAGTCTAAGTTGGTAAAACAGCTACTTCGGTAACTAAATCCATATATTCTATCGTTATATTTTTAATTATTTTTAGTTGTGAGTCATATCGGAATCCAGAACGCTAAGCGTTTCAAGTTTAATAATATTTAAGTACCCTAAAGTTAGTTTCATTTTTCTTTATTTTAGATTGAAACATTGAAGGATTTACTTGATGGTCCCAATGAATTTGTAGCAGCTGGTTTTGAACGTTTTCGACCATTAAATGAAATGAATTCGACAACTAGATGCTTCAGTCGCAGCTTAAGTCGTACAAGAAATCCAACTAAATCACCTACCAGTTCAATGTTACCATCTTTGAAACAAACTCATGAACAATTCAATAAAGGTCTCTGTTCAACTAGTGGATTTATTGGTAAATCTAATTTTAATTATTTGAGATAAATTAATATGGAACAATTGTGTTTTATCATTTATATTTCAAGAAATATGTGATAAAAAGATCTAGGAATAAATGTTAATTCAATGCACACAAATATCGCTTAGTTTGATCAATCCAACTCGAAAGATCCAGTGGTTAGATATAACAAAAGATTTAAAAGTACAACTACAGAGCTTTCGTAAACCTTTTTATGGTCTTAGGTCTGTTTATTGGGATTAACGCTGGGAATGATAAAGCATTTTCGATAACATGTCAACTAACTAATAGTAATGTGAGAGAAATGAGATGAATATTAGAATAATATAAGAACAAAAACACAAGAAAAAAGTTATAAAGTAAAGGGAGTATATCCTCCATTTCAACCTGTCGTAGTATATCCTATCTCATAGTAGAGACAGAGGTCTTAAAAATTTATTTAACATATGAAGGTTTGGAGTAAGATAATATATTCTAACACCACCAACGATATGCTGGAGATAATTGATATATTTGATGAAATGCAGTTAATAAACCGAAAGTTGTATTGAAGTCAACTTCATGTTCAATGTCAACCAAGTGATCAAGTATAGGTCCCTTAATCATCATTGCACAAGCAAGTGGCTATATGAACTCAGTAGCTAAGTGGATAACATGATGGCGTTTGAAGCCAACGGTACTGAGTTCGAGTCACACAGTGAACATCAACTCTGAGATGTAGGTACATGCAGCTGATGAGTCCCAAATAGGACGAAATGCACGTCAAACTGGATTTCTCTACTAGCCACTATCGATCTTTGCATATAATGCTTGTATCTCGATAATAGTTTTTTTTTATAACAGAAAACTTAAAACAAAGTGTTGTTACGAAAAATACTCCAAAACTCGTGTATATACTGACTTGGATTCGATGAAAACTGAAGCTAAGAAACTTATCTTTCTTATTCATTCATTAGTTTAATGAGTTTCTTTACACTTTCTGTATAAACAACATTCATCATAATGTTTACAAATTTTCTTCTTTAATTAAATAGCGTAAACTTTCTCAGCGACGACTTACAACATTACAAAATTCTAGGAATTAAAAGAATCTATTTGATTTCATGCATCTTTCTATTCTATAGAACCCAAGTGTTATGTAAGGTGGTAGTGTAATATACTTCTGGATAAAGATTAATTTAATGCACTTGTCTATAAGATTAACATTTATATTCGCTTCTCCAAGCTCTAAGCCAAACTTTGAATACTCATTGAGTAGGTTTAATGTAAATTTCTTGCTCATAATATTTCAGTATAATAAATGTATAAATAGGAATTTTCTTTCATTTTGTTACTTATTCTTACATTATCTTATATCATCAGTTGCTATCTAGAAAACTGTCAAACATTTGTATCTATCATTTCGTAGAATGTAAGTTTCATCAAATTGATTAGTTCATATACATAGTTCCCTTTATCATTTTGATAAGAGCAAGAACAAAGATTCTAGTAGGATAGTGTGAATTCATTCTATTTCGTCTGGTTCTCGTCAACTGCTTACAACATGTGATATTCAAAATCATTATTAAATAATGGGTTAAATGGAGCTAATCCGTGTCGGGTAGAGACAGGTATCTACCTCAGTACAATGGAAGGTGGTCGCGCAATTTCGTGGATTGGTTGATGTTAGACACTAGCACCATTGGATGCCGGCTCAGTGGTCTAATGGTTAATTGCACAGGCGCGAAGCCAGTAGGTCCTGGGTTCGAATCCCGTGGGGTGTGGGATCGTGGATGCGCACTGCTGAGGAGTCCCATACTAGGACGAAACGGCCGTCCAGTGCTTCCAGGTTTCCAACTGTGGTCTAACATCAATTAATTCATGATCTCAACCAAAAACTTAACAATCTCCACAACCCCCATACTGATGAAAAAGTTTGATTGGAAATTATATTGAAGACATATTCGTATAGTATAGTAAGGGTATAAATAAATTGAATACACTGAATATTGTAAATCTATACCTTATGTGAAAAAAACGTTCGGCGAGATTATAATTTATGGACGAGCTAATCAAAGCGTTTCAGGGATTTCAAGGTCACGGCGCTAATTTCAGTACCTGATACTCAAGTACGATCGGTCCACAGTGAATTTTAGAGAAAATGTGATAACTGAGCGACTACAATAAATGGAACTACTAAAAAGTTCCTTTATTTGTGATTAAGGTAAACAAATGACTTGTGAACCTTGTGCAGACTACTGTGATGATGTTGTTTTTCGATGCAATATGTGTTGGAGGAAGAAGTCTGCTAGAATAGGATCCAGATTGGGACTAAGGCAAATTATGACAGTTGTTGCGAACTGGACAATAAAAGCACTAGTAGCACTGGCTGCTACCAGTTACTACAATGTATACGGTTGATTGGAAAGCATACAGATGGCTACATAGACCTGTTTATATGCATCGTGTCGTTATCCACAAGTGGCATTTTGTGGATCCAGCTACCGGAGTGCACAAAAATAATACCGAAGCTATGTGGTCGAGGCTGGAAGAGTTTTTACGACTTTAGAGGCCGACTATTATGGAGCCATATGGATGATTTCCTCTACTATATTCATTACGATTTTAGAACCTCTGAACCTCTCTTTAACCTTGACAAGCATTTGAACCATGTAGAAGAAGTGTATCCACTTTAATTCTATGGTTTTGTATAAAATATTTTTACTGTTTAATAACTGTTTTCTGATTGGTTAATATTTCCCAAGATCACATAAGATTCGTTCAAAGGTCTTCTAAAAATTATAGTTTCGCCGAACGTTCTACAACATCGATTGTGACAACACTTCAATCGACCAGAAACAAGTGATCACATAATTAATGTTTGCTTATTATGTAATCATTTATTTCTGGCCTTTTGAACTGTTGTCACAATTAATGTTGTAGAACGTTCTTTCACATAACGTATATATTTACAGTATTCAATGTATTCAATTTATTTACACCCATGATGTACTTTACGAATATGTCTTCAAGATAATTTCCAATCGAACCCTTTCATGTAAATAATTTTAACCGATTATTTAACTGTGATTTTGAATATCACAGGTTGTAAGCAGCTGACGAGAACCTACGAAGTAAAATGAATTCATGCTATTTTGCTAGAATCTTTGTTCTTGCTCTTTACAAAATTGATTGTTCGTAGATATCCTCTCAATCAATTCTTCTTTAATTCACTACATTATAGCTAATTGATTAATGAAATCATAACGGAGTATATATACCACAGTGTAATGATAAATCTATTCCTTTCAATCTGTTTATTTCATTTTAGTGTAATTGTTACGTAACGGTTTTAATGTTTTATGATGATTGTTTTAAGTCTATTTACCAACGTTTGACCTTCTAATTCCAATGTATCATTATTGAGATAAGACTTTTGTTATCATATTTTATTATACTTACTACTATCAGTATACCTGTCTTCCTACTATCAACTTGTACTTTTACCGATTATATGCGGTGACGTAATATATTTCATTGTGATTATTGGCCTAAATTACCTTGATTCGTTTAACATTTTCGTATAAATATTCATGTATATTAGAGTAAAGCCTGATGACGATCTAATTGAAAATGTCTGAAACATACATGATAGTATTTTTTTGTATGACTAAAAAAGCTTGGACCGAATTGCCAGACGAAACGTTGGATTTACTCCAAATTCTTTCGCTGAGATTTTACAAATATATTCTTATCAGAATTGGTTTTGTGGAGATTTTAGTAATTCCAATAGTTGGAATCATGAGTCATTTGAAGTTAGACCACCATGGAAAACATAAAAGCACTGGATGGCCGCTTCGTTCTAGTATGGGACTCCTCAGAAGTGCGCATCCACGATCCCGCCCCACCCACGGTATTCGAACCCAGGACCTATCGGTCTCGCGCGCGAGCGCTTAACCACTAGACAACTGACCCGGCCATCATCCAACGGTGTTAATGACTAACTTCAATCAATCCACGAAATTGTGCCACCGTACACCATTGTCTTCAGTGAGTTGATATCTCACAACAGACCTAGTTGGTCTCCACTTCGTCCTCTTTAATGTCTCACATAAACTCGGCACCCAAATACTGTGAAATTATTAGAAGTGCTTTATGTTGAAATTTGTCATCACATGTACTTTACCCTATAAATGTATTTTGTTCGTTTTGTTTTGTCCTGTTTTGTTTAAATTTATTACTGAACAAGGGTACATTTACGTATTTGTAATTATTCACATGATATTGATAATTGAACAAACAGAAAATACTATTTAAATACAAAAGATACTTGAACCATTTGTTCCGTTGTACCTAACTTAAAAAATTTCAACAACAATTTGTCTAAATCAATTCAAACTTCTACTTTTAGATCACCGTCATCATTAACTAATGTTCAAAAGATTGACTAGGATAAATTCTCAAATCAAGTAAATGCTTTAGTATTATCAGGTCAAGTTAAAATACATAGGCATAGTCATTGATTTCACGTTCAGTATGTAACAAATCATAAGAACACTTTCCATTCAAGTCCTGTAGTGAACATTCAACTGACGAGTCCCAAATAGAACGAAACGCGCGTCAAACTAGATTCCATTGTTAGCCATTATCCATCTTTGTTTAAAAAGTTTGTGGCTTAAGTCTATATAGAGGCAATCCACACAGGATACACATATGTCAACAAGAGATTGATCAATTACAGTCCTTAATAACAATTGGATTATATAAGTAAAACAACACTAAGTGAATTCTCCTTATTATTGTTTGTCAAAATATGACAAATGTAGCTGAATACAAATAGAAATAGTGTAATTATTATCATTATTATTGTTATTGTTACGCAAGTTTATTTTGGTCAATGTTAATCATTGAAAAATAGTCTAAGATTAAGTTCAGTATGTTTGTTTATCTTCTAATAAACAATCAGATATCAGGTATATTTCAGATATTTAATTGGAATATAGTTACTTTTTATTGTTATTGATGATGACATTTATAAAGTAGACTTTTCGTTGATCATTGACGAGATTATTTATTTATTTATTTTAACACATAGATATTGGCAAAAATATATGTACGCCACACAAATCTCATTTGATATATGTGAGGGCTGTGATACTGTCCGGGTGCCCAAACCGAAGCAGGTGGTTTTCTTAGAGGGCCACTCCCCGAGCCTTCTACCTGAAGGTCTGATCCACAAGGCAGTGGAGCATCGTAAGGAGGTGCAGTCCCATGGAAGCCGGTGACCAACAATTGGTTCATATGCCATTTGGTCCTTCAGGATACTAGAGCCCATGTGCACCATTGATTTGGAATCTGGTTAAAGCGCCGGACATTCGCCTCCGGTCCTCATTTTCGTAAACAACATCCCCGCCACGAGAAGGCAGTGAGTAGGAATTCCCTGGCAAAGGCTATATACGCGTGGCCATGTGAGAGCATTTGGAGGGGGGAGAGCGGATTCTCCCCACTCTCGGCCGTACCAGGGCATTTGGCGAGAAACAGTTTTCTTTTTACCTTTAAGATAACTTATTACTAACTCATTTATTGAGTACAAGTTTATGTATGCAGTTTTGAAACTCAATATTTGTATAAGGTACAGTGATGTTACACTGCTACTTAAACCTAATTGGATGGGCTCGAACTTGAAACTTTATATCGATAAAATTCAGACTTTTATGAAAGTATTCATCATGTGATCGAATTTATTCTGTACAAAATGTAAAAAGCAAAGAAGGCGGTTGAGCATCTACTTAGTAATTAACGTTTCAAATTTCGACCAAGCCCAAAAACAAACGTTTCACTTAATAATAGACTTATATTAAACGTCAGAAATACAATTTAGATTGGTTGACGTTAGACATTAACATCGCTGGATGCCGGATCAGTGGTTTACAGGTTGAGCGTTCGCGCGCTAAACCGAAGGTCCTAAGTCCGGGTCCTGAGTGGAGGGTCGTGAGTGAGCACTGTTGAGGAGTGCCATACTAGGACGAAATGGCCATCCAGTTTTTCCTGGCTTTCATTGGTGGTCTAGCTGAAATCAACTCATGAATTTAACTATCAGGATTTTCTACTGATTGGGATATCACAAAAGTAAATTAATTACTAACTTTCCACCCGATGCTTAATTTATTAAAAATTATCAAGTTTAGCCTTACCATTGAAACATATAAACGTTTCACTTGATATAATCTCATATAGTTATACTGTAAATATATTCTTGAAATATTACCCTCCACTTAAATTTATAAAATGAAAATAGACCGTTAAGGCAAATTAAAATAAGGCTTCTAGAAGTATATGTACTATACTATTCCCATGTATTCACTATAGACAATAAAAAATATAGTCATGACACTCCTAATATCACATGTCTGGCAAGAACTAATGCAGCATAGAAAACCAGAATCATAAATGTAAAAAATCTATTTGAAATTTAGTTATGTTGTAGTGGACACTACTCACAAGGATGTTTATAAGTAGTGTGCAGCGGAATATGATACCGAAGTTACAACAGTTTCAGTGCATCGAAAGCATGGCATTGGCAGAACACTTGAAGGTCAGTCGAGAAGGCAGTTCAGATATCAGAACACACCAGAAGATTCAAATGAATGATTAAAGACCATGTATATGTAATAAGTAAATCTTCTGTAATCTCTCGCAATAAATATACACACCTCTATATTGTCTTAGGTTACAACCCTATTCTTATTTATCCTCAAGCTATTAAATTGCGAGACGTTTATTCATCAGCTCAATAGTGGTTTAAGGACAATTCGAAGTTTATCGTATGTGTCGTTTACTAAAAATAGTATGAACCCTCCTGCATAAATAATTTATGTTCATGAACATGATATTCATCAACAGTTAACATGACCTAATTAACCATGAATGCCAAAGATTAATTGTCAACTTCTTTGTCCTACTTTTGGCTATGTATTCAACTTACATCCTCTCAATCGTCCTGAAACTTCTCGATTTATGTGGATACCCTGATAGGCTTCAACCTTCTCTTATAATTCTGTTATTTATACTTTTATATTTCATTTAATCTACAAGACGACTCAATCATCATTCAATATTTGCGTTCAGAAATTCCATTATATGCTTAATTATCAATCAACATTGTTTTTTAATTGCATAGTGATGAATACAGTATAGTTTAAGCTTTATTAAACAAAACTTCATTATTTTCTTTGCTCAGTTTGTCAAGTATTTATCAAATCTGGTCAGAATGATCCACAAACAGGTGAAATGTATTCATCTATTTGTACAGCAAATCCAACTATTACAATTTGTAATAGATATCAATCAACTCAACCTATACTACTTAGATCAGCATATATATGTACATTGAGTTTAAATGATGGAAATGTACAAGTTATACAAGGGAATGAATTAAACGAATCTAACACAAGAAATATTACACAATTGGGACCATTTTATCCAGGGAGTATTGATTACTTTGAAGTGAGTTTACCCTTTAATAGAGTTAAAGTAACGAGTAAATAATATGACTGAGAATTTGTAATTGTATTATCTTCCTAGTATCATTATTCAAAATAATCATGATGATATAAAAGTACGGTGTTTATCACTTATACCTATAAAGTATGTCACAATCCCTATCTAATAATCCGTTGGATACTTTTAATTATTGACTAATGTATTAGCTACCATATACATTGTAATGGAAAAGAGTTGTAAGGACTGCGTTTATTTGCTTTGATATGAATGCGTTTCGTCCCTCAAAGAATGGTGTCAATAAAGAATCATTATGGCTAACATGATTAAAGAAAATTAATAATTTTATGCTGGAAAAAAGACTGTGAAATCTATTCGTTCTATGACTTTCATTGATTTCAAAACATTAAATGAATCGTGAATTGGTTAAAGTTAGACATTAACATCACTGGATGCCGGATCAGTACTCTACAATATAAGCGTTCGTGAGTGAGACTGAAGGTCCTGGGTTAGAGTCCAACGTGTAGGATTGTGAATGTACACTTCTGAGGAGTCCCATACTAAGACGAAACGGCCAACCAGTGCTTCCATGTTTTTCATGGTTGTCTAGTTTCAATCAACTCATGATTTCAATTATTAAAGAATCTGTAAATATCAGTTATCAAGGTTAGTTTCGATAATTTTAAATAAATTGAACATTAAATAGGGATGAATTCATCAGTCAATTGGAGCTAAACCACCATGGAAAACCTGGAAACACTGGACGGCTGTTTCGTCCTGATATGGGACTCCTCAGCAGTGTGCACCCACCGTACTGCTTGTGGGACACCAACCCAGAACCTTTGGTTTCGCGCGCAAACGCTTAACCAGTAGACTACTTATCCTACATCCAATAGTGTTAATGTCTAACTTCAACCAATTCATGAAATCGCGCCACCATCCTTTATTTAATCGGCTGTCATCATTTACATTTTTAAACCATTGTTAGTCCTGATCTTAACCCAAGTGTTCCATCTGTAATTGGTTATTAAATGAGCAGTAATAAGGAGTGTTACACTGAGGGAAAAAACGGCTGTCTATTGAACTTTGGTTCTTGATAGCCATCTATGCTTAGTTCATAATATAGAACCATAAAGTGTTAATTATGCTTATTCTTCAGACGATTGTTCTGTTTATATCTATATCGTTTGGCACATGAAATGATTCACTTTATTCATAAATTATTTTCTCCTTCTAAGTCTATCCACATCAGTAGTTCAGGTTTGCTGGATAACTTTCATTCGACCACATTATTCACATTAATTCAAGTGATCCACATTAGCTGAAACACAGTGAAGTAGCTCTCCGAGGATGAGTGATTCTCAGTCATTTTCTTGTTAGCGTCAGTTTATGATTCAAAATCTTTACATAAAAACTAAAATTCTGCTTCATTTTGTTTTTCATCTTTTTAGATACCCTTAAATGATATTATGGAAATCAGTAAGATACGTATAAGTCATGATGGTTACGGTACATATCCCGAATGGTTACCAGAAGAAATATATCTAAGATTGACACAAAATCTCCCTAGTATGACCATGAATTCACTCAAATTCAACACACGAAATTCTTCCTGTTTAACCAGACTATTAAATACTGAAGAAGAGAGTAATTTATTGTCAGGATCTATACCAACATATGAAATTTCTTTTCCATGTATGAAATGGTTATCACGCTTTAAAGGTGATGGCAGTTTAGTGCGTGAAATCGCTGCACCTGGAACTCAACTACCTGATCAAGCACCAAGACTTGGACGAATATTAAAAGTATATCCATTGGATATTACAACATTATTTCAACAAGAGGAAAGAGCTCCTGGTAAGTTGGATTGCAAGACTAAAATGGTGGGTAATATTACCGATTGTGCATTAAAATATTGGTATTTTTCTCCTAAATTTTGACGGTTGATAAACAAGAGGAACTGTAATCACAATTGATTGATCACTGGGTGGCGATCAATGTCATGCTTGTCTAGTCCTTATTAGTGCAGATTGAATGCTATCGATCATGTTGCAATGTGGCCACCAGTCTAGGTGACTCGACACTGCGGGCACTATGTATTGAGATTTAGACAGCTCAGTGGTAACGTCTCTGACTGTGAACCTGGGTGACACGAGATCGAATCCGCCAGGGAGCACCGGTTCCCTCAAGATTACAGGTACACCTTGCTGACGAGTGCCAAGTAGCACGAAACCCGCGTCCAGGGTTTCCTGTTGACTACCTCCAACCACCATCTAAAACAGGAACTGTGGAATAAATTACTATTCTACGTAGATCAAATGAATACAACATATTATTTTCGACTTTACGTTATACTACCTTTTCACCAATAAGTAGATAGTTTTGTGTTGTTAATTGTATCTCAATGGTCATCTTAATAAACGTCTTTTTCTCTTTATTTGTTGATATATTAATTCTGGCTTCCTTGAGTTTATAGTATTGCTTATCTATTAAGCCTTATCCGATATTTTAAATCCACTGCCTAATGACCGATTAGCTTATTCTTGAATTCGTGTGTATTTCATTTTGAATTAACATGGGAAATATAACAAATGATATTCCCTTTACTGTTGTTCTCTTTATATATTCAATCTTTATTCGATTATGCTTAAGACAGTGTAATCAGAATTTATTCCCATGAAAGCAAATCAAAACAAGGATGGAGACTGTGTAGGTGGTAGTGAATTGAAAGAATGTTTCACTAATGTAAAAAATAGACATATACCCACAGATTTTCCCAGACGCATAAGGTTATATAGATAAACCTGGTAGCTATTCATAATCATTTTTTTTTTATTTACCATGATCGGCTAACTTCTAAACTATAAATCAATAAAATCTGTCGCTTCAATCCTTAAAAAAAGCACGATACTCTTTAATTATAGTGAGCTACATGTTAATTAGAAGTAAGCATAATGATACTTTCAAGTGGATTTCATTTAGAATCTACCCTTTTAATTAAAGTATATACATTTCAAAATCCTAATGAATATTCCCTATTAATTATATTATAATCAATGATTATTATTTTGTTATAAATGAGCTGTAATTCTGTACATTGAAAATATTCAGGCGATTAATCTATATTGTAGTCATCAATGTTCTTATTCATAAATGTAAAAGCTTCACAGATTGCATTCATGAGTCAATTGAAGCTAGAATACAATGGAAAATCTGGAAGCACTGGACAGCCGTTTCGTCCTAGTATGGGACTTCTCGGCAGCGTGCATCCACGATCCCGCACCCCGCGAGATTCGAACTCTATGACAAAACGGCCGTCCAGTGCTTCCAGGTTTTCCATGGTAGTCTAACTTCAATTGACTCATGATTTCAATCTGTGAAATTTCTAAAATCTCCACAAACACCTTCTGAAAATGTAAAAGCATTGAAAATGTTTTATTTTTTCAAAGTAATATAGTTTAGTATTTTAAATCTTCAAGACAGGGGTTTTGTGGAGATTGTAGTAATTTTTTCAATAGTTGAATTCATGAGTCAATTAAAGCTAGACTACTATGGAAAACATGGAAATAATGAATGACCGTTTCATTCTAGTAATAAGACTCCTCAGCAGTGCACATTCATGATCCCACTTGCGGGATTCGAACCTAGGATCCCCGATCTCGCACGTGAACGTTAAACCTGTAGAGTACTGATCTGGCATTCAATAGTGTTAATGTTTAACTTCAACTAATCCACGAAATTACTACACTGTTCATGATTGTGTTTAATGAATTACTATTTCACAGTAGTGTTCTCACTTTAAGTGAATCATGGATTCGATTATTTTATTTAGCTCAAACAAAACTAATCATCATTATTAATCTTGTTAATCATACACTTTGTTTTCTTATCAGTAATTCAATATCAAGTAATAACAAAAACTGGTAAACTTTGGAATTCAGGAATGAATAATACAACAAAAGTAAATATATTAATACAAGGTGATCGTGGGGATACAGGTACAAGAATTTTATGGAATGAAGAAATATCTAAAATGAATGCATTTTCAAGAGGGAAAGTATGTGATTAATATAATAAACATTAATATTTGTATCATATAAAATAGTCTATTTTTAAGAAACTTTATATTAACTATTATATATGTTCTTTACTGAACAATCGGATAACAGTAATTCATGAACATCCTCCAATTGAAAAACAACTGTCTGTCAAGCAAGATCAAAGTCACAGTCTTTAATACAAACTTCAAAACAGTTCTACTCCATGGAATTGGAACTTGGAGAACCAGCATAATTATCATCAAGAAGGTACAAGTATTTATAAACAACTGTCTAAGCAACACATTCAGTGTCCCTTTACCGGATACCATCAGCAACAGCCTACTATGGAAAAGAACAAACCAGTTTCCAGCTGAAGAGGAAATTAGGAAGAGACGTTGGAGGTGGATAGGATGTATATTGAGGAGATCATATAATTGCATGACGAGGCAAGTGCTATCCTGGAATCTTGAAGGAAAACGAAAAAGAACGAGGTTAAAGAATACACTGCGTCGAGAATTAGAAGCACACATGAGTAGGATGAATAGAAACTGGGAAGAACTGAAAAGGATTTCCCAGAACAGATATGGATGAATAATGCTGGTGAGCGGCCTATGGTCATTCATGAGGGGTAACGATAGTAAGTAAGTAAGTAAGTTCTATAGTTATAAATCCACGTGAATGGCCGAAATAAGCAGCCAAGTTAAAAGCGAGTATGTTTTCCAGTAATATAGAATATAAATTTAGAAATATCGGTAAAATAAGTTTGTTAACTGGCGTTTGTAAATGTTTAGATGAAGAGTGAGTACTTGAATCAGTTCTTGGATTGATAGAAATTGGAAGAAGAATTAGAAGAAATACAGTTTACAGAATTATCCAAGAAATTAATGTAATTAATGATCAAAGAAATTGTCAGATCGAAGATTACACAATTCAGAAGATGATATGAATTTAACAATAATTGTTGAAAAATAAAGTGGGCTCTAATTTACTTGCTCAAATGTATTAGAGAAATTTAATTTATGGAAAAGCATTTATTTATTTATCTGAACACATAAACATTAGTACAATGGGATACCGAATACACATGTGCCACACAATAACAATGAGGCCAGTATCAGTTATCACTCGATTTGTGTGAGAGCTGCGATACCGTCCGGGTGCCCAAACCAAAGAAGGTGGTTTTCTTAGAAGGCCGCACCGCTAGCCATTGAACTGAAAATCTTATCCTTAAGGCAATGGGGCAACGTAACGAGATGAAATCCCATGGTAACCAATCACAAACATTAGGTTCATAAACCTTTTGTTCCCTGGAATCCATGTACACCACTGGTTTGGAATTAGGGTTTTCCAATGCTTTTTAGTCGGATCCTTCATAACAGAAAGTATGTATTCATATTAGCCCTACACCTCCACATCTTTTCTAGTTGTAAAGGGTATTACTCCTATCATTTAAAAGTTAGGTAGCATAAGCTGTCTATTATTATTACTCTGGAACATTCGAATGATTAACTCATGATAGCTTTATAACTCTTTCCGGTATATGGTTTAAGATTAAGAACAATGAAAATTCCACAATCAAACTATTCAGTTCAGAGAACAAAACTCTGTTTAAAATATCGGCGAGACTATAGACAAAACCAATCACGTATAAGATAACAGATCTCGGATTTTGGCGCGAAATTTTCACATCCATTTGGATAAATAGAGTTTCGGCATTACAGCTGATATCAGTTCGTGATGAAAGCTCTAAATCTAATTCCCAACCCTAACCATCAACTGTAAATCATAATCCTTATGCTTCAAATTGCTTTATAACCCTTATTTGTTCCTAGTTATTAGGTGGACACTCTCAAGGTCACTGCGGCATCGCTCAAAGGTCGTCCATAAATTATAGTCTCACCGAAATATCTTTTCTCCTACATTTAAAAGAAATCAATTTCAGAATTTCTTTATCTTGATTTTAGACTAATTCATTCAATGTTGAAGCTGTATTTCTTGGTCGATTAAAATCACTTACTATATGGTTAGAATCAGATAATAATGGAAATGAGAAGAATATTTCGACTACTACTACTACTCATAATAATAATAACTGGTATTTAGAATATGTGATCATTCAACAATTATCAATGAATTCTTCTATGAATATATTCAATACATTATCTTCATCTTCCACACCTTCACCTCAATCATTTCCTTATACAAATGATCATTTTCTAACATGTACAAACAATAATCTGAATAATATTTATAATGATATAAGTGCAATTTATATATTTCCTTGTTTTCAATGGTTAACAACAAAATTTGGTATGAATTCTTTACCAATTAAATTAATTCCAATTAATAGTAATGGCACATTTACAATTAATTTAATTGAAACAGTTATGGCATATCAAAAAGAACAAACATTTGTAAGACTATATATATATATATTATATTGTTGTTGTTGCTTTATTTTGTAATCCAAATTCACATTGATAGTCGTCTGTGTTATTTGGACAAATATTAAATAGTTGAATTCATAAGTCGATTGAATTTAGAACACTATTGAAAACCAAGAAGGATTGGATGATCGTTTCGTCCTGTTGTGATACTCCTCAACAATTCGTGGATCGGTTGAGTTTTCCCGCGCGAGACCAATACGTCCTAGGTTCAAATCTTGCGAAACAGGATCGTTGATGCGCACTGTCGAGAAGTCCCACAGTAGGACGAATCAGCCATCCATTCTAAAAATCTCCACAAAACCCCCTTCTGACAATAATCATCTGCTCACTACTGACTGACTTCAAGAGGCATTTCCTGGAGTTCTAGTGAGAAGCCGTGACCAGTGGATTTCAACCAGCTCTGTTGTGAGATATCAACTCACTGAAGACAGTGGTGTACGGTGGCGCAATTCCGTGGATTGATTGAAGTTTGACATTAACACCATTAGATGACTGCCGGCTCAGTTGTCTAGTGGTTAAGCGCCCGCGCGCGAGACTGATAGGTTTGGGGTTCGAATCTCGAGGGGGAGGTCAGGATCGTGGATGCACACAGCTGAGGGGTCCCATATTAGAACGAAACAGCCATCCAGTGCTTTCAGGTTTTCCATGGTGATCTAGCTTTAATTGACTCATGATTTCAACTATTGAAGGTATCATCCGACTAAAAATACTTTTGTATAACTATGATTTGTTCATCACATGTAAAGTTTATTAAATACATGAAGTTTTACGATGAATCAATAGAACATACTTCTAATATTACCAACCAAATCATTCACCATTAGTCTAGACTATTCTCTGAAAGGTTGATATTGTTTTGACATTTCTAATCTTCCCATAATTTATGTAAATATTTACATTGAATAGAAAATGATCAACAATATTTCTTATGTGATTAGATGAAACATGAAAGCTTAATATAGTGTTATTAAGAAAACATTGTTGACGTACATTGAATAGCATCTGAAATAATGTGAACATCATCAAGTATTTAGTTAGGTTGGTGAATATTTAGTATTTTTTGGACGTCATTCTTTTCATGAACAGAAACTGATAGTTAGAATATAAAGAATTAGTAAGCAATGAATAACTATTTTAATGAACTGAATGTCTCCAGATCTCTTAATGAAGAATAGACTGTTCAATGTCTGGATTAATATTGATTAGTCAAAGTTTTCAAACTTTTCCAAAACAAATCTTCATTTTTACTGATGGAAAATTTACTCTATTGATTATGACTTTTTACCATAACTCTAGGAAATCAATCTCTGAAGTAGTCATTAATGGATAATTTATGTAATAAATGAAAAAATCACCTCATTAAAAAGTACTTTATGATATGTCATCTTATTGAACAAACAGTTAAAAATAGTTTTATAGTTGAATTCATGAATCAGTTGAAACTAGGGCACCATGGAAAATCTGGAAACACTGGATGACTATTTTATTTTAGTATGGTACTTCTCAGCAGTGTAGCTCTTTGTGATAAACTATGAGTCTAGAATTAAAAAAAAACATATTCAATTGAAATAATATGCCGGAATAAAACACATTCGTTGTCTGGAACTTGAAAGTCCTGGATTCACCTGTTTTTGATGGAGTTTTGTTCTTTAAGCTGAATGGTTTAATCGTGAAGCTTTTATCGTTCTTCTGAACGATATCATCAGCACAAACTTTACATAGAAGTGAAGCATTCAAATTTCTCCACAGGCTAGGTAGATATGCATAACAAAATATCTGAACTCGTGCACAATGATGTAAATTCATTTTGTATATAACTGAACTAATGTACACAAAATTGATCAAAAAACAACTAACCATAAATAAAAACAGCCAGTGAGTTTTGAAAATAGCAGTTAGGTTCGGTGGAAAGACCTATTTTGAATAATTTATGCCTTACATTATGAATCTCATGATATGCTCATAATGAAATATCTGAGTGATATGCTCACGATACACACATTCTAACAAAGACTGAATAAAACTCAGTCTTAGATATTAACAATAGGATAACTCTAACTCTTATTAGTAGTATAATAGACTAGTAACCAGTTATCACCGTTTTACCAAGACATTTTTCATATGGCATAAAAAGCTTTCAGTTTGTACATTTTCCCAAAATTATTCCCTACTCCATAAATCATCTGCTTTAAACAATCACACTTTTAAGTTAATGCCCACAATAGGACGAAATGGCCGTTTAGTACTTCTAGGTTCAATTGACTCATGATCACAACCATTATGATTCTTTTAATATTAACTGTGATTTGTTCTCTCTATTGTTTTTTTTACACAGTGGCAAGTTGAAAAATGGAAGTTTAAACCAGGCACAAAAATTATTTTCTACAGTTATTTAACTGGTGCACCAATGCGTATAATCGATTCTAACCGTATTGATTGTCAACCGATTGATTCAGTTAGCGGAGTATCAAATCAAAGAAATGGAGAAGGTAAAAGGTTATTCTTTAAATGTTTTTTTATACTAATGATTTGAAGAATTTGACCCTCTGATAAGCAATAGCTGACAGAATATTGATTAGGTTCAACGAGTACAACGGGATCAATTGAATAAGTTGATATTCATATATTTTTATATAAAAGACAAAACGTTCACATAAGTTAATTATAGCATCTCTAGAAAAAAAGGACAATTTGACTTAAAAGAAGTACTTAAAACCTGTTACTCAGTAGACACGCACAATACCCGACTAACAATCTTGTTTTTAAATAATCGTTTAACATGAGTTGAATGCTACTTAGTTTTTCAAGAGACCGAAGCTAAATGAATTTTAAAGTAGTAGTAGCAGTGTGGTGTGGGTTACTTATATTCATATAAGTAGTATATAACGGTGGTCAGGCATAAATGTATTTCGATCGGTAAGAAAAGAACGGAAACGGAACACAGTTGATGTGAAAATGCATGAACAATGAAATGTGAGAAAATGGACTGATATTTACAAAAGGAACAGTGAAGTTTGAGACAATCGATTGATATTTTGCAAATCAACTATTTACTAGATGGTTCTCAGATTTCAGTGAGATGCTCTGTAGTTTTGTGCTCAAGTCCAGTTGATTGTCACCATTCGTGTTCTTGTTCACCACAGTAATAGTAGTACCAAACATACCGGAAACTAAATAAAACTATTCAGGACAACAGTGGGATCTACTGACAGCACCTAATCAATTAATAAAACTGAAATAAGAAATCAAATGTAAAGAAACCTTCTTATTAACAAACCTTTACTAGGATATAATTACTTGCATCCTGCTTCAGTTATTCAGAAAAAATGGGTAGCCAGCTTGAACTACGAATGGATAAAAGGTTTATTGTTAAATAACGTCCAAACAAATCCACTATTAAAAATTGAAATGGCTTTAACCCTTATCCCTTTATATTTTCTGGAGTCCTAGTGAGAAGCCGTGACCAGTGGAGTCCAATCTGTGTCAGGTGTGAGACATTTATCCACAAAAGACAATCGATGCAGGGTTGAACGAGATCATGGATTGATTGAAGTTGAGTGCCGGCTCAATGGTCTATAAATTAATTGTTCGCGTGAGAGATCGAATGTCCTGGGTTTGATTCTCGCATGTGGGATCGTGTATTAAAACTGCTGAGAAGTCTCATACTAGAAAAAAGCTGCCGTCCAGTGCTTCTAAGTTTTCAATGTTAATCTAACTTAGATAGACTCATGAATTGAGCTGTTAAAATTTACACAAGTAAAAATAAGTGGTGAAAAACAGAAATCACTTCGGGTCAAACCATTTTTTACACAAAGTTATTTACTACTTTTCTTTTTCTTTCAAACAACCAACAGCCTAAATGTAAAGTAATCCATATTTCACACAGCGTAGAAGTGAATATATTTAGTAATATTTATTTACCTACTTAAAAGTAACTTAAATTTTTGAATGACAATTTTGGTTCTGCACTTGTTTACATCCACCCCCCCAGCTGATATTTACTTAGTTGTACGTTTAGGTAGCTTAGTCCGAAAACTTACTAATTTTCACTATTTAGTATACACCTATCAAGTATTCGCTACCAAGAAGAGAATGATTTAAAAAATGTTGTTAAAGAAATATCTATCCAAACATTTGGGCTAACTAGTTTACAACTGAGTTAATATTATAATAGGTCTTCCAGATTTAGATTATTTATTAAGAATTCTGAGCCCAAGTACTGAAACCCCTACAAAACGTTTTGTGATCATAAACAATGGAAAACTTAAAAGTTACATAGCGATTGTTGATAAATATTACTCTGTAAATGTAATTTAACAAAACGAAAGATGATCACGTGAGAAGTCATGTATTCAATAATATGATGGATAAAGAAAATATTTATGATAACTGAATGGGTATAGAGGTTGTTGTGATTGAAGTGAGAGATACTAAGTATGTATACTGAATAGTCATAAATTGGAAACATTTAGTGCAATATTGAACATTTAGTGCTGAAATGACTTTAAAGTAACAAAATTTGTAGTATTGAATAAACGAATGACTATTATTATTGAGTAGAATATATCTACTACATATATCATATATCTATTTGCCGTTATTTTAAAAGCTTTATTGTCGTTCTTGAATAGGTCTTCATGACAATGAAGACCTGAAATTTTGTTCCTCGAAATCCAATTCAAAGAAAACGTTGCATAGAAAACTATGAATACACCAAACCTATATGTCTAGTTGAAATGTTTGAAGAAGTTATCGGTTTAACAGCAATTGAGTCTAGTAGTATACCGTGTTTAACGAATTTTACTAGGTTCTATTATAAACAGCTTTCAATCGCCTTTTATGTATAGAGTTACGTATTAATCATCATCATCATCATCATCATCACATGAAAATCACATGCATTTTAGGTTACATTAGCCATCATTTTTTAAGGTTACAAACCAGATAATCTATCGTCCAAAGATTAAAATAGTAAATAGTGATATCACACTCTAATATGATCATTATTTTACACTTTTTTTCTGTTCAAGATATTATTAGATCATTATGTACATACCGCTTAACTAGAGTTTTCGATCAGTATGCATGATGATAAACTATATGACATGAATGATTATAGGAAGTATAGTTTGAAAATATCATTCCACATTATCACACTGATGACTGATTGACTTACTAGATTTGATGATCCACTAAGACTTCAATCCAATTCTTGACTTACTATGTAACATACATAACAAGGTGATTGCATTTGACTAGTTGCAAGAATCTAAAATATTACCTATGATAACTCTTAATAATTCTTTGGCTTCATAAACCAAAACTAGATAAAACAGATAAACGTATTGAAATCATCTCACTCTTACATCGTGGTGGTTGTTTATAAATTAAAACAAATTTACTGAAAATCACTATATCTCTTGAATCATACTTACTTATTTACTTACGCCTGTTACTCCCAGTGGAGCATAGGCTGCCGACCAGCATTCTCCAACCCATTCTGTCTTAGGTCTTCCTTTCTAGTTCTATCCAATTGTTGTTCATTCTTCTCATGTCTGTCTCCATTTCTCGGTGTAATGTGTTCTTTGGTCTTCTTCTCCTCCTTTGGCCTTGAGGATTCTATGTGAGGGCTTCCCTTGTGACGCAGTTAAGTGCTTTCCTCAATGTGTGTCCTATTCACTTCCACTGGGATCTGGTTTGTTCTCTACCACAATAGGTTGTTGCTGATAGTGTCTGAACAACGGATCCGAATTATTTTGCGTAGACAATTGTTAATAAACACTTGTATCTTCTGGATGATGGCTTTCGTAGTTCTCCAGGTTTCTGCCCCACACAGTAGAACTGTCTTGGCATTTGTATTGAAAATTCTGGCCTTGGTGTTGGTTGACAGTTGCTTTGAGTTCCAGATGTTTCTCAGTTGTAAATGTGCTGCTCTTGCTTTGCCGATCCGCGCCTTCACATCTGTATCACATCCACCCTGTTCATCAATGATGCTGCTCAGATATGTAAAAGTCTTTACATCTTCCAAATCTTCTCCGTCAATTTTGATTGGATTTGTGCATGCTGTGTTGTATCGGAGAATCTTGCTTTTCCTTTTGTGTATATTGAGACCTACTACTGATGAAGTTGCTGCTACATTCGTCATCTTCTCCTGCATTTGTTGTTGCGTGTGCAATAGAAAAGCTTGATCATTTGCGAAGTCTCGATAGTTCATCTGCATTCTAGCAATCCACTGTATCCCACTATAACCCATGAATCATAGTTTAATATTTCTTAGTAATCTGACTAGATGATCAATGAGTGACTAGTCTTCAAAAGCGAATATATATAATTGTGAACTTCTACAAAATGTGCAACTATAAAACCCTAGAATCCCATTTCTTTTCTTACTTATTAATAAACAATAATGTTATGATCACATAGTAACTCACATACTTAATGACATCAAATCTCTTTCATTATAATTAATGATATTCTTATCAGAATGGGTTTTGTGGAGAGTTAGAAATTTCACTTGTTGAAATCATGAGTCAATTGAAGTTAGACCACCATGGAAAACCTGGAAGCACTGGACGGCCGTTTCGTTCTGCTGTGAGACTCCTCAGCAGTGTGCATCCACGATCCCACACCCTGCGGGACTCGAACCCAGGACCTGTCGGTCTCGCTCCAGGCATTTAACCCTTAGACCATTGAGCCAGCATCCAATGGTGTTAATGTCTTACTTCAATCAATCCACGAAATTGCGCCACCGTACACCATTGTCTTCAGTGAGTTCCTATCTCACAACAGAGCTGGTTGAACTCCACTGGTAACGACTTCTTAATAGAATTCCAGGAAATGCCTCTTGACGTCAGTTACTAGGACGAGACGGCCATCCAGTGCTTCCAGGTTTTCCATGGTGGCCTAGCTTCATTTGACTCGTGATTTCAACAAGTGTAATGATATTCTCTCTTTAAATATTTCTTTTATTTTTTTTCATAATAGTTTTTAATGTCTCTTATGGATTAACTAATTCAAAACGTTCAAAACTATCACGATCATCCTTAAATCAACAATTTGGTTCAAGAGACTTATTAGACAATTATAAACAATCTATATTGAATCAAAATATAGAATATTGTAATGATTTAAAAGATAATTTGAAATCAACTAATAAAATGAACAATCATAATAAGAATACAAAATGTATTCGTTCATTTGCAAGTGTACAAAATCCATGGCTTTCAATGTGTTTAGATGAAATAGCTGGTTTACATTTGAAAAGTAAGTTGTATAACACCATTTTTTTCTATCCCTTATTACTAATGTTGTTTTGTCTATAGAGAATATAAACAATAATCAGTTCTAGGAATATATTATAATCAATAGATGATGAGAGTATAATTTATAGACGACCTTTAAGTGACACTATAGTGACCTTGAGAGTGTCTACCTAATAACTAGGAACAAATGAGGGTTATAAACCGACCTGAAGAAATAGAATTATGATGGATTATAATGGTTAGAGTTAAGAATTAGATTTAGGGTTTTTATCACAAACTGATATCAGTTATAATGCCAAAACTGTATTTATCCGAATGGATGGGTAAATTTCGCGCCAAAATCCGAGACCTGTTATGGTTCCGCCCATAAATTATAGTCTCGCCTCAGTAAATTAATTTTTAGAAAAAAAAGAAGCACTGATTTACTACCTTGTGTAAGTCTATGATTTGTTAATACATCAACCTCTTTCTTCTATATCACGTAATTAGAATGAATTGATCCAAGTTTTGTTGATAAGACGTAACTTAATATCTCATAACCCTTGGGTTAATTTGTCATTAACTTAATTAAATAGAAGATATCTCATAGTCTGGATTTTATAATGACTACTTTCACTACAGTTCAAATGAACTTTAAACATAGTTTTGGTTATAGATCAACCTGTTGTAACATTTAAATTTCTATTAGATTATGTCTGGTCTTGAAGTAAATAGTTTCTTAGAATTGAAGAAGATAAATATTTCTATGAGAATCTGAAATGGAAGATCAAGTGAAAATATGAGTAGATAACTCAGTATGAACGACGAATTCATTTATATTTAAGAATAAAAAATATTCTAGAATCGGTAATGAATAAACTTGATATCAATATAAACTAGTAATGAAGAATACAAGTTGACAAAATTAAGTATTCAAATTAGTCACTATAACCGGTTTGCTATCATTCAGAGATATTCATTATTTATTATCCACAACTGTTAATGTTGATGAACGAAGGATTTCATAATCCTCAGCTAGCTATTTTTACTTGAAAATGAACTTTATCAATATTTCACTATTCTTACAGTTGAGTCGATCTAAGCTAGACCACCATTGGACATTCGCTTTTCGTCCTCTCATTTTCATAAACAAAATCTGCACTGAGTAAGACTTCTGTAATAGTGGTTGTAAACGTAAGGCCATTGAGAGCATTCCGAGAGGGAGAGAGAGCTCTCTCCACTCTCAGCCGTACCAGCTCATTTCGGAGAATAGTCTAGATATAAGCGATAAAAAGTATAAAAGTTAAAATAAAGTGCAATCTTAATCTGTGATCGAAATAAATAAGCTCTGTTATATATCACAAATATTCATGTTTCATTGACGTCTGATTCTGCAAACAATAAAGATATATTATTGCAATTAAGTCGGTCGTAGAATACAATGTCTTCAAGAGACATCAATATGACTATTTAAAACCAAGAAGAATAAACAATTTTATTCTAGTTTGGAACTATATAGTATTGTACACTCAAATGTTCCAGAGTGAACATCAACTCTAGGATACAGGTATATCCAGCTGACGAGTCCCGAATAATATGAAACGCGCATCCTGAATTCCACTGCCAGTCTCCATTTATCTCTGCTTATAATGAATAAGGTTAGTAACACCATAATTTTCACCGCAAAATAACATTTCAATCAATTACATTCAAACAATTAGATTTTCAAATACTTTATTTCATTTTATTAGTTAATTCGGAATTAGATTCACAATTTTTCAACTTTAAAATACGCCCTCAGTCAGAACGTCTCATTGCACTTGAAATAAACAAAAAAAATTCACTGCAATCTAGAAAGATCCATGTTTACGTTGGACCAGACGGTCGTGTCGTCAGTGGAGCAACAGGTCCTGTAACAATTCCTGGGAAGTTATTTCTACCGTATGTAAAAGTAAGTGTTAGTTTCTTTTTCATTTCACCAGTACATCTATTTATACCATTACGACTTATGATATGTTTTGCGTCAATTAATTTATCTATTTATTTATTTGAACACATAAATATTGGTACAGAGGGGTACCGAATACATATGCGCCTCACGGGTCACTTGATCTGTGTGTGAGCTGAGTTACTGCCCAGTTGCCCAGACCAAAGTAGGTGGTTTTCTTAGAGGGCCACATTCGAAGCCTTTGACCTAAAGGTCTGATACACAAGGTAGTGGAGCAACGTCAGGAAATGCGATCCCATGATAGCCGGTGACCAACAATTGGTTCATACGCTTTTATTCTATCAGGCTCTTGGAGCCCATATATGTACCATTGGTTTGGAATCAGAGTTTTTACAACTCCCCTAAGTGGATCTTTCGTATCCACCAACCCGGTTAAAGCGCCGGACATTAATAGGTGTAATGTAATATAGTACGATAAGTTGAAAATTCACCGAATGTGAAGTAGGTTATTAATTCAATAGTAAATTTCAAGTCATCAACTTTAAACTTATTCAGACACCATAAGTTATTTTGCACAATTCATGAATAGTTTTTAAGTATAAACATAAATCATCTAAAAAAACAAATAAAATCAGAAAATCAAACATAATATATAATTATGGGGTACCTTGGAGATTGCTCGCTTTGAATTTTCACAATATCGACCAACTATGGTTAACTAACCACTGAAAATTTGGAAGTCGTTTCATCTTAGAATGTAAATCCTTAGAAATACACATCCATGACCCTATCAGAGGTCAAATACAAAACCTTCAAATATCACGAAGAGTGTAGAACCTCTAGATCACTAGAATGGTTTACAGTTCCCTACATTTCTAACTTCTGTCAACTGACCATTCTGCTCAACTATCATTTACATTTTGTTTCGTTCACAACATGATTGAACTCGATTGATCGCAGCATCTCATTGGAACTTTGGGAACTATGGCTGATATATTTCGATAAAAATAATGAGTGCTTAAAGCAGGTACGAAAGAAATGCATATGAGTTTTCGTAAGGCTTCTACAAAATTATTACCACAAACTAAATACTGCCTTTAGTTTCTCTTCCATTATTAAGGGAGAATAATTTGACGGGTTATTAACGTAGTATATGAGCACAAGATCTAATGATAGCAGTAAAATCAAGACCTGATCAACATACACTCATCGCAGATAAATCAATAAACTATCATGCTAGTAACAAAGAGGTCTTCTTTAGCTTAAAATCTTATGAGACACTTCTTTCAATCCTTAACAAATAACTAGGTATTAATAACAAAAAATGTTATAATTACTGATCGATCTTTAATGCGAAATGTTTCCCATGTGTCCATCATCCGCTAAATGTCGAAACTTTCCCAACACTTATGACGATTTCCTTAATCTGAAGTCTCCCAATCTTATGAATTCATGAAGTTTCAATAAGTGATTTCAAAAAAAAGTAATCCCATCTTATAATAAATTTTGTGGATTTTGTTTTTAATACAAAATTCAGAAAGACAGAAAACAAATTCACGATATTCTGTAAAACCTTTTTTTCTTCTCTTGTACCTATGATTCGTCAATTGACGCTAGTTACTCAAGAAAATTGGCTTTAAATTAGGCAGTTCAAAGGAATTGTCGAAAAACCCTTAAACTTAGATTTCATGACAATCAGCACTTAGCTTAAATCTTAGGTCAGAAATTTTGTGGCAATTTCTCCTGATTAACTAATATAATTCCAAGTCATTTAGTCAGCTGCCGATACGCATATATATATATATATATATATATATATATATATATATATGCTTTTGATAGGTAAAGAGAAATTTCAGATTGATTGAAGTTAGACGTTAACACCGTTGGATGCCGCATCATTGGTCTAGAGGTTAAGCGTCCGCGCGCGAGACTGATGGATCATGGGTACCGATTTCGCGGGGTGGGATCGTAGATACGCACCGCTAAAGAACCCTATACTAGGATGAAACGACCGTTCAGTGCTTCTAGGTTTTCCATAATGGTCTAGCTTCAATTTTACTCATGAATTCAATTATTAAACTTTAGATTAATTTCTTATGTTATTAATCATCTTATATTCTAATAATATAAATTCATTATTCTTTCTAAATGAAAAAAAACAGGGTTGTCTAAGAGATCAAACAATCTTATGGTTATGTACAGAAATTCAACAAACATTAATACCTATAATAATTCATGAAACTAATCAAAACAATTCAGAAGTTAAAATCAATAGTTGTAAATTTGATTTACGTGCCACAGGGGAACGTACTACTGAAGCATATTGGAGAGTTCATAAAGTAGACAAAAATATTAGACGATTTGAATCAGTTGCATGGCCAGGAAACTTTTTACGTGTTACATCAAATAATGTAGATGTTATGGTTAGTTATTTTATTAATATATCTATTAATATGATATTTTCATTTTGTGTGAAGTAACATTATATTATATCTAGAGCTTAGATTCTTAATATACCGCGTATAACTTGAGCATTCAAACCCTAGAACCTTCTCAAGTCACAAATGAAAAGACAGAAGACAAGTGAAAGGAATTCTATTCCAAATAGTGTTATTTATGATATACAACTGTCAGTTATTTATAGTTTTTACTTAATTACTTACGCCTGTTACTCCTCGTGAAGGAGCATATGCCACTCACCAGTATTCTCCATCCAACCCTGTCCTGAGCAATCCTTTCCAGCTCTTTCCACTTGTTACTCATCTTTTTCATATCTGATTCTGTTTCCCGACATAATGTGCTCTTTGGCCTTCTACTTTTCCGCCTCCCTTCAGGATTACGCCTGTAGCTCTTCTAGAGTTACTGCCTGTCCCAAGCCCAGGTAAAGGAGGAGGATTGGGCATGGCGTTAGCGACACCATCCCGTAGAAAACTAAATCACTAAAAAAACGCCAACCAGAAAATATTTATAGTTTTTTTAGTAAAAACGAAATTATCATTATAATCATCCAATCCGCATACAGAGGGTTATTAGCATTTGTCTAATAGAGAAACTACACATGAGGATTCTGGAATATTCTTCCAAAAGATGATTAGATGGAATATGTTCGGCTCTTTCTGAGCTTCTTAGAGCTTCCTCGAGTTCACCCGTGGACTGTCCTCACACCTTATTAACATAATTTAAACCGATTCTCAAATAATATATTGTAATTCAAACTAGACTAGAGTATTTTTTAAGATTACAAACTTGTTATCAATGCCAAATACTAAATAGATGAAGAAATATTAACTAATTTCAAAGTGAGATATATATATCTGTAAATTAAATTAGATAATAAACGATATCCATAAAAGATAGTGAGAACATTGTATTGTCCTAGATTAGGATCTTGTTTACCACATTCTCTATGAGACCCAAACTATCTAAGTTTCATTTCGTGTGAGTATGAAGATTTCCTTGATAAGTTTCATATTAGAACCAAACTGATTTCGATCTTTTCTAGTTCTAAATCATCTTCCTGTTCATTTCAGTCTATTAACAAACCTATTTTCTAATTATTAAATGAAAGTTTTGTATTCTCCGGTTTCTGATATTAGAGACTGAACTGATTAGTAAAATATTCCTATCATGATAAGATAAGAACACCGTTTATGCAAATACGTATTTTCAGTAGTTTTTATCAAGCTTTATAAAGTAATACGTTTGTTCAGACAGTATGTTACAAATTTGTATTTGTATACATATGGCTTAAAGGATTGACAAAATGGATGAATCATTAGTAAACTATGTGAATAATGTACAAAATGAGATTGATGATAACGATACTCAAAAAGTGAGAGTATATATGAAGTTACTAGTCACGGTTATTGTAAGCTGATGGCAGGTAAAAGCCGTGGAAGGGAAAGAGCCTGAATAAAAGATTTTTGTATACAATAAAGTCGGAAAATCTCATTAGCTATTATGTCAGCTATGTTGAGTACGCCGAAATACTTAAACTATGAGGGCTTCATTTAAACTTTAGATATATTAATGAATGATAAACACATCTAGATTTTGCATTATACGTCTACTAAATGAGAGGATATTAAGTTTTTTTGTAGGTTTGTTTATTTCTACACTTATTCATTTTGGAAATTGTCCAAGAAAGCAACAGGAGGTTTGTAACGTCGTTCTGACTATCTTGTCACCTCCACAGAAGCACAGTGGTTCAAATGTTCTGTATAAATATTTCCATTTGTATCACGTTTACTTGAATTATTTTCTAAATTGATTAGTAAAAGGAAATGACTAAGTAACTCGTATTTATCCCCTAAAATTTTGTGTTTTATCTATAAATTGTAATATTTTTTCTTTGTTAACTTACTAAGGACAAGTAAAAATGGATTATTTGTTAGTTGTAAGAATTAGAATACGAATAAATCACGTAGACTTACTTAATTACGTACTCCTGTTACCCCTCGTGGAGGCGCATAGGCCACCTATCAGCATTCTTCATCCAACTCCATCCTGGGCAGTCCTTTCCAGTTGTTTCCAGTTTCTATTCATCCTTTTCACATTTGCTTCCATTTCCCGACGCAGTGTCTTCCTTGGTCTTTCTCTTTTCCGTTTCCCTTCAGGATTCCAAGTTAGGGCATGTCTTGTGATGCAATTTGGTGGTTTCCGCAAATCATGTAGAACTTTGGTCTAAATCCTAACAGACTGATATTTGACTCACAATAGAAAGTTAATACACAGAAGAAAATATCTTTAAACACAGAAGAATTTATTTATGTATATCCAAACATGAATAAATTAGTATGAGCCTTAAGAAGAGATTACTAAACAATACTGGTGAATGATCTTCATTTATTATATAAAATTTCATAGAATTTCCTTACTTAACTGATTTATGAGACAAACAGTACTGGGTTCGAGTCCCAGAATGAAAATCAACTTTGAGATGCAGGTACATCCATCTGATGAGTTCTAAATAGGACGAAGCGAGCGTCAAACTGGATTCCACTACTAGCCACCATCCATCTTTGCTTATAATGCTTGTGACTTAAGGCAATATCGAGGCAATTCGTGCAGGATGTACATATACCAATAAGATATTGATCAAGTTCAGTCCTAAACATCAGTGGGAAGATTCAAACAAACAATACAAAATGATTATGAATTCCTATTGTTTTTTTATTAATTCACAGGGTGGCGGTGGAATGGATTGTTACTTTCAAATCAATCGTGTTCGTTGTAAAGGTTTTTTCCAATTATCACCTCTTGTGAATATTAAAAAAATTATTGGAATGAATGAAGATGGAACAATCACTTTATACGACAAAGATACAATGGAAGAAAATTCACGTTTTTATCCAGAAGTTGTCAAATGTACGTAAATGTATTTTTGTTGTGACTTTAAACCCCGGCTAGCTATCATGTGACTTAATCGCCAATCGAAATATGGCTTATTCAATCTTGTATTGTACTAAACCAATGACGTTCAACCGGTATGAGCAGCCTAGCGTCATTATTGGTCCTTTGTCCGCCTAGCCTGTTCAGTTGAGTTCAGAACACCAATACCAGCTTCCACTATGTGAATCATTTATTTCAAATATATTTAGTTCATATACTAGCCAAACAGACCACATCAAACCATAAAATAGAAAATAACATTTGTATAAGATCAAGCCAAACAGTGGCTGTGAATATGGGAGACTGCAATCAATAAACCGAGTATAATTCAAGAATACTAAATCGTATCATAATATTCTATAGATCAAAATAAAGCTTGTAATAAGAGGAATATAGATACACACAACCTAGTTACTGAATAGTTATACAATAAGAATATATATATAATATTAGTCCATTAATAGTCCTCAGAAGGTATCCGTCACTTAATCTTCACTAGGATATAACAATTATTTTGAAGTATATGTCTTAGTAAAACAAATAATTAGGCGGTTAAATATTATTATCTTAATTTTGTCCTATAAAACAAAAAATTTAATTACAAGCCTCGTATCTACACTGTCTTTTCCTTATTGAAAATAACCGCTTGAATACATTAGACGAATAGAGTAATTCAAGCCAATTATTTTTTTTCGTCATGAAGGTGAGTACCAAATATTATACATTATATATTGTACTTTTGTATTATATGCTACCGAAGTCGACAGATATAAGTAATATGTATCATCAGTCGAGAGTGGAATACTTGGAGACAGAAGGTTGGAAAAATCGAAACGAAAAGAACGAAAACAGAAAATGATTGGTGTGGAGACGAAGGAACAATCAAGTCTGAGACAATTGATGGATATTTTGCAAATGAATTATTTACTGTATGGTTCTCAGATTTCACTAGGAGATTCGATAATGTTATATACAAATACATTTGGTTGTCCCCGTCTGTATTCTTGTTCACAACACTATCAATAAAATCATTCAGTAGCTTAAATTTATTGATGATCTCAAAAATCCCTTTACAAGAAATGAAAACTTAGCACTAGTTAACAATAACAATCTTTAATTGAAAGACAAGGTGGTAAGATATCCTCCCTATTAATCTGAATAAAAGGATTCTATTTTGTTTTATTAACTGTTTTTATGTAACTGACGGATTCATCACCAAACAAGATATAACGTTATAAATGCACCAAATAGATATGCGCCACATAAATCATTCGATTTGTGTGAAGGCTGGGATACTGCTCAGGTGCCCAAACCGAAGCAGGTAGTTTTCTTGGCGGGCCACACACGGAGCCTTCAACCTAAAGGTCTGATACAAAAAGCAGTGGAGCAAAGTCAGGAGATGCGATCCCATGGTAGCCGGTGACAAACGATTGGTCCATACGTTATTTGTTTCTTCAGGATACTAGAGCAAATGTTCACCATTGGTTTGGAATCAGGGTTTCCTGACTTCCCTAGGTGGATCCCCTGTGTCCACCAACCCGATTAAAGCGCCGGACATTCGCTTTTCGTCCTCTCAATTTCGTAGAAAATCACTGGCACTGCGAGAGGGTAGTGAGTATGACAATATTAGACTAACATCATTTTCAATTTAAAGGCTTCTTTCTGGATTTTTTTAATATTGTCTATTTTAATATAACATTATAGAATATCTTGGTAAAATCAAAGAACCATTCAGTAATATTTCATTTACAAAATATCTATCAATTTTCTCAGACTTTGTTGTTCCTTTGTTTGTATACCAATCACTCTCTGTTCTCGTTCTCTTCGATTTCTCTCAACTTTCTGTCTCCAAGCATTCTACTTTCGAGTGATAGTCCATACTACTTAAACCTTTCGATATCATTAGCACTTACCACAATATCACATTGACACAGCGTATACGATAAATTGTCAACTTCTCTTGATGATTACAAATATTAATAATCTTGAGCAACTTTAAATAATGAACTTGATGTGATCAACTATATAGCTTACAAAAATAGGCTCCAAATATGAATGGATATTGGCTAGCATTAGAATTTAGAACGAATGATTCGTCCTATTTAGAACTCGTCAGCTAGATATACCAAAATCTTATAGTTGATATTCATTTCGAGACTTGAACCTAATGTTGTTCACTTCAAACGTCATTGTATTACCCACTTAATTACTAGGATACAAATCGGTTAAAGAACTATTAGCATTGACATTTTTGTACATAAATTTGATTATCATATGAGTTACATGTATTTACATCACAAGAAGGTTCATTTATCAGTTATATTCTTATCTCTTAACGATTTCATGTTAATCATGAAACTTATTCAAAAATGTAAGTAACTCTTACTCTGTAACAGAAGATGACAATATAGATCTCTTGGAGTCAAAAGAAATCCTGATGCTAAGGAGGTTGTTTTTTTTGAAAAACGTTCTTGATTTCGCTTATTCAGAAATGATCATTTTAGGTGAAAAGAAGTTAATAATATGGAGTTCTGAAACTAAGTTTATACTACAATAAATTTATCAGTAGTGTATATCTATGACCTTGAAGAAGTAATTCATGTAATATCACAGTTAGAAATATTACAACTGACCCATTTGATTAACAACCCATTTTCTGTTACATTGAGATATGATATTGGCCTTGATTACGTAATCAGTCAGTATAAATGGCTATCCAAATGATTATTATAGTAAATGAATAAAGTAATCTATCTTAATATATATTCTGATTGGGCTTTGTTCTCTGAGCTCGTGCTTTGGTCGTGGGGCTTTCGTTGTTCTTCTGAACGACATCATCAGCGTTCAGAAGAACAATGAAAGCCCCACGACCAAAGCACCAGCTCAGAGAACAAAACTCCATCAAAAGAATCCACATGAGCTACAAATCTTCTCTACCATCTCATAATATATATTCTGTTATTGGTTTTGTAGATGGTTTCTCTAGTTCACAGATTCAATTGAATAATTCATGTTTAACAAACAGAACAGTTAACATAAGTCCTCAACCAATCATTTCAAATTCACTATTAGATAATGATAATGAAGAAGATGAAGAGAATAAAGGGAATCTACAAAAAGAATTTAAGATTACATCCACAAGACAACAACAACAACAGATGTTAGAATTAATACAATCTCGTAATCAAACCGATATGGACACAACCAATAGTGTATTTGTTGATGATACAAACTCTAATGGAAATGATTTGAATAAGACACAAACTTTAGATAATCCAAATGAAATTCAGACTATGAAAGGTAAGATAAGAAAGTTCATTGCTCTTTTCTTCTTATTTCAGTATAATTTAAGTTACAAAAGCAAAAAATAGTTTTAAGCATTTCTAGAGTTCACTTCAGTAAAGTTATTTGTTACACTTGAATATCATTAAAATGATTCAAGAAGAGTCAGAGGATACTTAAATTCTTGTCACTTTACTCAATACTAAACTGATGACTGATGAACTATTTGGTGAGTAAGCAAACCATCTGACTTCTGTTATGTTCTTATGCCCCGTTTATTACAACGTGATTAATTCGCCGATTAGAACATCAACTTATATGACCTTGGTACTGTGACAAACCAATGACGCGTTTACCAATACGAGTAGCCTTAAATCAACTCTGAGTCCTTATTGGTTCTTCTTGCCGAAGCCTGACCGTTTAAGTTCAGAACACAATCTCAGCTTCCACTGTATGAATTCTACATTTTAGACATACTTGGTTAACATGCAAACAAACCAGACCTCATCATACCATAAATTAGAAAATAACAATTGTACAAGATCAGACCAAAACGTTGCTATGATTATCAAAGACTGTAAAGAATTTGTGGTGTGTGCTACTTATATTTACATAAGTATTATATGATGTTAATCGTGGACAGAAGGTCTGACAGCAGAGAAACAAGAGGATCGAACAGTAAAGAATGGAAACAGGATTCAATTTGTATGAAAATGCAAGAACAAGTCTGAGTCATTTTGAGTCAATTCGTGGACAGTTTGTTAGATTTTATTAACAAGTCCTGTAATTTTGTGGTAGATACATTCGATTTTCCTGACTGGTGTTCTTGTTCACTACTTCATAGTTATACAATAAGAATATGTATGTATAATAACAGTTCATAAATAATTCCTAAAAGTTACCATTCATTTATTATTCGTTAGGATATAAAAACTTTGATATTTACTTCATGAACCCGAAGTATCAAGCAAATAGTCAGATATTAGACAGGACATTATATTATATCATTCGACTACTCCTTCTGATAATAAAAAGGCACTGTGAATTGTACTCAAAATTAAACCATAACATAAGTTAACTTTGTTTAACTCTGGTTTGTGATCTACTCGATTTTTATGCATTAATTACGAACTAATCTTGAAAAATCTTATGACTGAACACTTGAACCACATTCCTTCGCTCATTTAGTAATCCTACACTAGATAAGCACAACAACTTGAACACGAGAGAAAAGATGCGAAATCTGGAAAGAACGCTTTGCTCTAAGATTAGATTATGTACAAAACATTAAGGTATTTACAACTTTTGGCTTCTAGAAAGCTCTGGAACCTTACTGGTATACAATATGAGACATGAGTTCACGAAGAAATCAGATAACGAGAAAACCAGATGACCAGTACAAATATATTAAAAGAATTCAACGACCACATGTATATTATGTAGACACGAATGCAACATCAATGCTTTAAAGCAAATTAGAAAATTGTATGCTGATTGGGGCTGTCACATATGATCAATCCTACATATTCATACAAGTATGAGGATAGCATACGTAGAAATATAGTCAAATTATTGCTGAACAAAATAAAACTGTCTATTTGTGAAGTAAGCTCACCAAATAGTATAATCGATTTAAACATAAACAAATTCAGAAGGTGATAACGAAGCTATACTACAAATTATTCGAACTTTCATGAAACTTTACAAACAATGGAATCTATGCATGAAATTATTCCTTAAAAAATCATTACTAAACTTTCTATTCTATGTTAGTTGACTACACCATATTAACTGATTTCATCATAAAATTACAGAGTTATGTGATCCTCAGATGTCGTACATTGTGAATGACATGTTCAGTTGCGTTTAGATTATTGTTCATTTTGCAAAATATTTGATCATTTCTTAATAGAATAGGAATGGACGAACCAATCAGATATAAGATAATAGGTCATGAATTTCGGAACGAAATTCATTCATCCATTTGATGAAATAGCGTTTTGGCATTTAAGCTAACGTCACCTCATGATGAGAACCTTAGATCTAATTCCTGACCCTAACCATCAACTGTAAATCATAATTCTAAATCCTCAAATTGCTTTATAACTTGCATTTAGTTTTAGTTATTAAGTGGACATTTTGAAGATCACTGTGGCGTCGCTCAAAGGTCTTCCATACATTATAGTCATACCGTATTTCATGCACAACAAATTCCTTTTTTAATCAGTCACTTTTTTATTTTCAGAAGGGGTTTGTGGAGATTTTTAGAAATTTTCCCAGATTGAAATCATGAGTCAGTTGAAGCTAGACCACCATTGAAAACCTGGAACCACTGGACGGCCGTTTCGTCCTAGTATGGGGCTCCTCAGCAGTACGCATCCACGATCCCGCACCACCCGAGGCTCGAACCCAGGACCTACCGGCTTCGCGCGCGAGCACTTAACCATTAGACCACTGAGCCGGCATCCAACGGTGTTAATGTCTAACTTCAACGGCCGTCCAGTGCTTCCAGGTTTTCAATGGTGGTCTAGCTTCAACTGACTCATGATTTCAATCTGGGAAAAACTTTTTTATTTATAAAACAACTTTTAGTACGATAATTTCTATCCACTTCTTATAGTAACATTTTTTTAAAATATTTGAATAACCTCGTTACACAAGTTACTAGCCATTTTGGACTCTTACTGAATAACATGTTGGCCATTTAAAACAAAAGGTACCGGACTCTAGTCTCTATGTGAAAATTAACACTAGGATCCTGGTACATCCAGCTGACAAATCTCAAATAGAACGGGATGTGTATCCTAGATTCCACTGCTAGCTACAACTCACCTGTCTTATTCAAATTTTATTTTATATCAACAGAGCATTTATTTCATTGAGTTTCAGTTAAAGAAGTTTGTTTGTTTGCTTTTAATTCCTAGACTCCAGTTGGAAATTATCTATTTATACAGAGAAATCAGCACAAAACTGTGAAATCGTTTTAGTCGTCTACGGCATAGACGGTAATTCAGGTCCAATATTAATTGGTAGATCAAATGATGAAAAAGGATTATTTCAGGCAAATAGAATTGATAATTTTATGGTAAGTAGTAATTTGGAAGACTCTTTTGGTCTCCCACATTGTACGAGCATTCCATGTACCTAAATAAATGGTTGCTGTGGTTGTCAGAAGGAGCATCAGCCTCCTGACTTTTGAAGGAACTCGGCTTTCACCATAAGACATCATAGCTTTTCTAAATGAAAAGCTTATGACTCCCAGGGAAGAGTCTAAATGGTTTGAATAATTTTTTTCTGGTTAGCGTTTTTTTAGCGAGTTAGTTTTCGACGAGATGGGGTCGCTAATCCCACGCCCAACCCTCCTCCTTCATCCGGGCTTGAGACCAGCAGTAGCCCCAGAGGGACTCCAAGAGGAGTTTTCATGGTAAGTAATAAATGATTATTTAATGAATCGGTCAAATCTATCATTTTAACAACAGTAATGATTCATTGCTAATTATAGGTTAAAAACACTTTCAATAAACTTGTAATTTGAGAGTCTATTCTTAAACGATTAGTTGTTTTGTTATACTTTTGACTAAATGTGCAATTGAATGTAGTCGAGCGGTAAATTGATGGAGAGTATTGAAGAAAAAAATTACTTTAGATTATCTACTAATTGCAGTAAAGTCTATTTATAATAAAATATCACATTGGCGAATCGACAAAAATCTTTGTGTGTATATTGCGTACAACCGAACACTCTTTTCAGTTAGTTAATATAATAACTGTCTTGTAAAATCCTATTCTAAAGGTTGTTTTTAGTGTAAATGTCAGGGGACTTCAACGATAAGCAGCCTTTAGAGATGACGAATTTAATTAAAGAGTAAAATCTGGTAATTATTTCATAATAATGAAAGATTAAAGTCAGAAACATGAATCTTCTTCACCCTTGACTGGAGATAAGCGATCCCAAACATACCTGCCAGTTTAACATCTATACCTTAGAATCCAAAGTAGTTATAATGAATCTATTATTTATTATTCATAAAGATCTTCCTTCTAACCATTGTAATTCATGACAAATATCCTTTCCTTTTATATTTCGCACTCTTTAAACAGCTTGTTAAATCAAATTTTTATTTGTTCAGTAAATAAGTATTATAAAATTTACTTACTTGAATAATTAATCACTTCCTAAGTAATTTTACTGTTTTAATTAAATCAATACAACAAAGCAATTAATTATTTTACTTACTTATGCTTGTTACTCCCAGTGGAGCATAGGTTGCCGACCAGCATTCTCCAATCCATTCTGTCCTGGGTCTTCCTTTCTAGTTCTATCCAACTGTTGTTCATTCTTCACATGCCTGTCTCCGTTTCTCGGTATATTGTGTTCTTTGGCCTTGAGGATTCTAAGTGAAGGCTTGCCTTGTGATGCAGTTGGGTACTTTCCTCAATGTGTGTCCCACCCACCTACTCCTGGAGACCGTCTGGGGCCACTGCCGGTCCGAAGTCCAGATGAAGGAGGAGGGTTGGGTGTGGGGCTAGAGACCCCATCACGTATAAAACTAACTCGCTAAAAAAACGCTAACCTGAAAAAATGACTCAAAGCGGTTAATATGAATTGAAAATAACAATTTTGATCACTGAATAAAAAAGTAAACGGTTATACATTTAAAATTTCATATTAATGAGCTATAATGAATTAGGTGTTCATGAAAAAGACAAACATCAATGATTTTCCTCATCAAAGTTGTATGTAAATGGATTCTTAAACTAGAAAAAATGATTCCATCGTCAGAACAAAATATACAAATCTTATGATTCAAAGTATTAGACAGAAACAAGAAATTATATGCAAAGATGGATAATAGCAAGCAGTGGGAACCAGGACATGCGTTTCATCCTATTTGAAACTCGACAACTGAACGTACATGCATCTGAGTTGATGTTCACTCCGGGACTCGAACCCACTACCATTCTCTTCAAACGCTAGCAACTATCCATTTTGCTTAGAATATTTGTGAATTAAAGCAATATCAAGGCAATTCGCACAAAATGTGCATATGCCAATAAGAGACTGATCAATTGTAGTCCTAAAAATCAATGGGAAGAATCAAGTAAACAATACCAAGTGAATAGAAATAAGAAATCATGTAGAATGATAAATAATTCAATGAACAGATTCGATCCTATCAAGTGATTATACAAATTCTAGATAATAATAATATGCATTAGAACCCTGTAAATCATTTGATGAATCAATACAAGAAAACTTCGGAAAAAAACATTCCAATGGTTGAAACCATGAGATTTTGAAACTAGACCACCATAGAAAACCTGGAACCACTGGACGGCCGTTTCGTCCTAGTATGGGACTCCTCAGTAGTGCGCATCCACGATCCCGCCCCAGTGGAGTTCAACCAGGTCTGTTGTGAGATATCAGCTTACTGAAGACAATGGTGTACGGTGGTGCAATTTCGTGGATTGGTTGAAGTTGGACATAAACACCGTTGGATGACGACCGGCTGAGTGCTCTAATGGTTGAGCTCTCAAGCGCGAGAATGACAGGTTCTGGGTCTGAATCTCGTGGGGGGCGAGATTGTGGATGCTCACTGCTGAGGAGTCCCATATTAGAACGAAACTGCCATCCAGTACTTTCAGGTTTCCTATGGCTATCTTCAAATGACTCATGATTTCAACTATTGAAATTACTAAAATCATCGCAAAACCCCTTCTGATAAAAATATATTTATAAATAAGTTTAGACAACATAATAAATAACTTGAAATAGAACACATAACTAAAATTTGTTTTATACAAGAGACGGTTGATCAAATAAAAATTAAGATATTACCCTGTCCATGTTGACTTTCCATACATAGAACGTTAAATGGAACCATCATCGCTCCTATTAATCAGGATGTCTAGAAAATTAAATGTTCATGGTTATTGATTTACTTGACTTCGATAACTGAAAAAAACTGAATCCTCAAAGAATTAGAGACTAACTTTCAACATAACAAGTATCAGGAAATAGAATTTCGAGAAGAAATAATTAACCAAGCTAACATGAGTTAACAATTTATTTAGTAGTATATGTGTATTGTGTAGGTGTAAAGAAATAATGATTGATTGTTTTTCCTAGACGAATTGGTAGATGATAATTTGATAAGTAATTGATGTATCATATATAACATCCTACCATTATACTAACTTGATTATTGCTTTGTTGATTATTGGCTGATATATGTACTAGTCAAGCGAATCATAAGTTCCTGATTTAAGTTAGTGTTGGTGTCTAGTAGAATAGTGCTGGCTAGGAATCTGGTAATGAGTGAATGAATCATATACACAGATAAATTGTTCATTGTTCGTCCTAAGTAATTTAATATTTCATTCATGTAAAAGAGAAATACGAATGTTATTTTATTGTGATAAACTATGGATAATCATGGAGATAACTAAATGACTAATAAAACTATTATTATAAATGTCGTATCAAAATGATGCATTACAAAGGATACAATTATAATCTCTCTTTCAAATACTCTCTGAATCTTTAAAAAAAACGAAGCTAATTTTTCTCTTGACCATCTTAGCACATTCACAAGAGCAGACAACATTTATTTATTTTATTTTTTATTTTAACACATAGATATTGGTGCAAGGAGGCATCAAATACATGTGCGCCACACAAATTTCATTTTATTTGTGTGAAGAATGTGTTACTGCCCGGGTGCCCAAACCGAAGCAGGTGGTTTTCTTAGGGGGCCACTCCCCGAGCCTTAGACCTGAAGGTCTGATCCACAAGGCAGTGGAGCATCGCAAGGCGATGCAGTCTCATGGTAGCCGGTAGTCAACAATTGGTTCATACACCATTTGTTCCCTCAGGATACTGTAGTCCATGTGCATATTTGGAATCAGGTTTTCCCAACTCCCCTAGGTGGACTCTCCGTATCCACCGGCCCGGTTAGAGCGCCGGACATTCGCTTTTTGTCCTCTCAATTTCGTAAACAACACCCTCGCCACGAGAAGGCAGTGAGTAGGACTTCCCTGGCAGAGGCTATATACGCGTGGCCATGTGAGGGCATTTCGAGAGGGAGAGCGGACTCTCCCCACTCTCGGCCGTACCAGGGTATTTGGGGGCAGACAACGCTTGAAGCTCAACCCGGCATATATACATAGCTTAACATAAACAGGTAATGTCATGAATGAACCCTTATATAATCATCAATTTCATTCATAGTATACTAGGAATACACGAAACTCATACATTCAAAGTAATACTCAAGTTATAGATCGTACAGCCGGTATGTTTGGATTCAAATTCATTCTTTAATTAATTTCAAAGCTGTAAACAATTTGTCTCACTTTAAGAAGAAATCATCTACAACTCCATCAATTACTTCTTTTATAACTTAATAAAACCAAAAAAATTACAATACAATACCATATAATTATTTTAATAGATTATAGTGGGAAATATCGGTTCAATTTATAAGATACGTCTAGAAGTGAATCAAATAAATCCGGATAATGATAGTGAATGGGAAGTTGACAAAGTGAGTATTAATGATGAAAATAACATTACAATTTTGCTTATATTTATATCTATTCATTGATTAATATAATTCGGTAACTGAATACAAACATTAGGCTTTAAATAATGATAATTATATGAAAGTTTGATTAGTCTAGTGCTTAAGTTAACGATTTACTGAATTATGGTTAAAGAAATAATAAGGATAACCATTGAAATCACGAACTGATCAAAGTTATTTTCACAATTTCCCATGATCCTACAATTTCTAGAAGGCTATAAGAAGTTGTTGTGACAGTTTATTTCAACACAGTACAGATCAAACGATCAACAAGCATACAATACGACAGATGAGTTGACAAAGAAGTCAGATAACGAGAAAACCAGATAACCAGTACAAATATATTAAAAGAATTCAACGACCACATGTATATATAGACACAAATGCATCATCAATGCTTTAAAGCAAATCAGAAAAGTATATGCTGATTGGGGCTGTAACATATGATCAATCCTACATATTCATACAAGTATGAGGATAGCATACGTAGAAATATAGTCAAATTATTGCTGAACAAAATGAAACTGTCTATTCGTTAAGTAAGCTAATCAAATAGTATAATCGATTTAAACATAAACAAATTCAGAAGGTGATAACGAAGCTATACTACAAATTATTCGAACTTTCATGAAACTTTACAAACAATGGAATCTACGCATGAAATTATTCCTTAAAAAATCATTACTAAACTTTCTATTCTATGTTAGTTGACTACACCATATTAACCAATTTCATCATAAAATTACAGAGTTATATGATCCTCAGATGTCGTACATTGTGAATGACATGTTCAGTTGCGTTTAGATTATTGTTCATTTTGCAAAATATTTGATCATTTCTTAATAGAATAGGAATGAAAATTTTCGTGGCAAGAGTATCATCTATGGACGAACTAATCAGATATAAGATAATAGGTCATGGATTTCGGAACGAAATTCATTCATCCATTTGGTGAAATAGCGTTTTGGCATTTAAGCGAATGTCACCTCATGATGAGAACCTTAGATCTAATTCCTGACCCTAACCATCAACTGTAAATCATAATTGTAATTCTTCACATTGCTTTATAACCCTAATTAAGTTCTAGTTATTAAGTGGACATTTTGAAGATCACTGTGGCGTCGCTCAAAGATCGTTCGTATATTATAGTCTCATGGTCTTCTTCTTTAAACTAACTGAGTGTTTTATGCCATGTTGTTAATGGTTTCATACTTAATCCGTCTAAATGTCAAGCTGTTAACTTTAGCCCACGTTGGGATCCCATTATGCTTGTGCCATTGGAGACTCTTTGATAATTACAGTGCCGAAAGTTAATTATCTTGGTGTCACCTTTTCTATAATCTCTCTTAGTCTTTTCATATTTTACTGTTATGGAAGAAAGTTTTCCGTCAGACTTATTATATGAAGAGACTGCATGCTTTCGGGATTACTCGTTATTTACTCTTACAATTTGTCAATTCCTGTATATTACCCATTATTCTTTACTGCTCTCCATTATTCTTTCCCGAACTTTTGAGAAAAGATTTTGCTATATTGTGAGGAATACTGAAGGCAGTTAACAAGATGTGTGGTGAATCTTTTGAGGTCATAATTAATATGGCTGTGGATAGACATCTAAAGTCATCCAAACTCCTGGCAGGTGTTATTTTATCAGATACTAATCATCCACTTCATTCATATCTTTCACCTTGTATAACTTCTAGTAGAACGATACGAAATTACATTAAAATTCATGCACGCAAGCGAAAGTATAAAAGTTCTATAATAACTTACCTAGTAAATATACTCTATGATGAACAGGTTGTTTTAGCTGACCTAATCAATAACCCATACTCTTAAATATGTCTCTAATTTGAAAAGTTGTCCAAGTTCAAATCTTTTTTTTCACATTTTTCTTTTCATTTATCTTGTTATTGTTTTTGTTTCTTGTAAAGGAAATCTTTTCGAAATACCTTGTGCTGAGACTTCTAATATTGTACTAAAATATAATATTGAATAAAGCCATTAATAATTATAATAATATACGAATATTTGTCAAGATTAGAACGAATAGTTTGACAAAAATTTGGTGCTGAGAGTGTAGAGAAGTCATTATATGTGAAAATTATATTTGAAATTATCTCAGCGATTGAAATTTAAAATAATTCCAACATTTCGTCCAGTTAACTTGTCTGAACTTCTTCAGGGTAATAATAACGAAAATCAAAATCATCAAAGAAATGTATAGCGTGTTAACAATCAAATCAAATGAAATGTATACTGCGTTAATCCAATCCCATTTGGATGTAGATTTTAATAAATAGGCTAACATGAGTCAGTTACATGGCAATAATGTGAAAAGTTCACGATGTGGAAATAAGTGACAGAAAACGAATTGTGTGTGTGTGTATGTGTAAGACTGAGTTATCAACTATTGGTATGCGGTGGTACTATGTCTTATATGAAATAACATATAAATAAAAGTGCAAGTTCAAGGTTGGAAAACTGTTTCTGAATCACTGATGTGCATGTCAAATGAGAATCATCAAATACATAATTGGATTGGATTGGTTGAAGTTAGACATTAACACCGTTGGATGACGACCGGCTTAGTGCTCTAATGGTTAAGCACTCGCGCGCGAGAATGATAGGTTCTGGGTTCGAATCTCGTGGGGGGCGGGATCGTGGATGCGCACTACTGAAGGGTCACATACTAGGACGAAACGGCCGTCCAGTGCTTTCAGGTTTTCCATTGTTGTCTATCTTCAATTGACTCATGATTTCAACTATTGAAATTACTAAAATCGCCACAAAACCCCTTCTGAACATGATTGTATAGCTAAAATAACTCACATTAATTTCATTCAAAATAACGATACATATGAAGTAAACAGATTGAATAAAGAAATGGATCCAATTACTTGTCAAAGAATATTTGCCAGGTGGTCACTAGTTGAATACCATCCTTTCAGTTCAAGCTGTTCTTCTTTGGCCATATATACAGCGCTTCTGCTGTTAATCTTTCTTTATAAGTGTTAAAACCTTTCTGAAGTATTTTGGTCGTTCCAAAATGAATCTTGTGTCCTGTTTCTAACGCATATAACGCTATCGTAGGATTTGGGAACATTTTTCAAACACTATTTATGTTCCTTCAACCTTACATAATAATAAATATTGATTGTTTATCATTCTATTAACTTATTTATTTTAAGTTGATCCTAGAAAATGTTAAAATAAACAAACAATTAATATTTGATTTTATTGGTCGACCATTTGGAAAATTAAACAATTTTTATTGTTTATCTCGAGAACAAATTACCCATTTACATTTATCAAATAATAAAATAATGAAGAAACAATCAGGAGAAGGACAACAACAAGAAGGAGAAGACGACGACGAAGAAGAAGAAGAATTCAAATTATGTCTATTGAATTATCGTATACAATTAGAATTCAATAATGATGTAATTCAAAGAAATGATAAATTAAATATTGCATTAGAACCATATATTTGTTTAATTGGACAATATGGTGATAGTGGTCGTAGATTAATCGGTTATATTACTGATAAACAATTAATTATTAATGAGAAAAGAAATATTCTGGTAGGTTTGTTTTTTTCTTAGTGAATAGTTTACAATTATAATAAAACGATTATTTTTCTTTTTTGGTTTTTTTTGTTTTTAATAATTGAATTTATGAGTCGAATTAAGATAGATCACTATTGAAAATCTGGAAGCAGTGGACAGCCGTTTCATTCTAGTATGGTATTCCTCAGTCAGTACTTAATAATCTCTACCATCCCATACTGATAATTATCATGTGCTCACTAGTGATTAGATTCGTGAAGGAATTCTAGGAGTTCTAGTGAGAAGCCGTGACCAGCGGAGCTGATCTGTGTTGGGTAGAGACAGGTATCTACTTCAGTACAATGGGAGATGGTCACGCAATTTTGTAGATTGGTTAAGGTTAGACATTAACACCGTTGGATGTCGGCTCAGTGGTCTAGAGGTTAAGCGTTCGCTTACAAGACCAAAGATCCTGGGTTCGAATACCGCGGGCGGGACTGTGGGTTCGCACTGCTGAGGGGTCCCACAATAGGACGAAACGGCCATCCAATGCTCCCAGGTTTTCAATGGTGGTCTAACATCAAGCGGTTCATGATTTCAATCAAAAAATATTTATACTGTTATATTGTCCTTAAAGTCTCTCTATCGTCCATAAAAAATCGCGATTATAGTATATCCTCGTAAATAAAGTATTTTTTTATATTTATTGAATTCACTTTCAACACTGATGTTAATAACTGATATTATGTCCTAGGCTATACAATTCTCGCGAAATACGATTACCAAATCTAGATACGCTGACTTATACGACCAAACTAATATGATATATAGACAAGTACGAACAGCCTAGAGTCCCTAATGTTCTTTTTTTCCCGCCTAGCTCTGCCTGTTAAGTTCAGAACGCCAATATTAGCCTTCACGATACGAATCATATATTTTAAATATACTGAGTATACATACAAACAAATCAGACCACATCACACCATAAAATAGAAAATAACATTTGTACAATATCTAACCAAAAGTGGCTATGAATATAAGAAGCTGTTACTGATAAATTCGTAATATCTCAGGAATAGTAAATCGTATGATAATAGTCAATGGGTCAAATAAAATCTTATAATGAAATGAATATGAATATGCACATAATATAGTTACATAAAAGTCATTGTTGTGAGTTTATGTCCGGCTTTTTATCATGTGATTCATCCACCAATCAAAATACGACTTATACAATCTTAGCACTGTGCCAAACCAATGACGTCCGAACGGTATGGGCACCCTAGCGTCCTTATTGGTCCTATGTCCGCCTAGCCCGTCCACTTGAGTCCAGAATATTAATACCAGCTTCCACTATGCGAATCGAATAATTTATTTCAGACATACTGGGTTTATATATCAAACAAACAGACCGCAACGCAGCATAAAATAGGAAATAACATTTGTACACAATAAAGCCAAAAAATGACTGTGAACATGGGAGGTAGTAGTCAATAAACTGAACATAGCTTAAGATCAGTAAATCGTACATTAATAAGTTATAGACCAAAATAAAGCTTATAATAAGAGGAATATAAACATACCTAGTCTAATTATTGAATAGTTATACCATAAGAATGTATAGTTAATATTAGTCAATTAGTATGTCTCAAAAGTTACTTGTGATTTAATCTTCGCTCGGATATAACAGTCATACAATAAGAATATACTCATAATATTAGTCCATAAGTAATTCCTAACGGTTATCATTCATTTATTCCCGTCTGGATATAAAAACTGGAACTAATTTTCGACAAAAGTTTCAGATATACATTAACAAGTGAAATGATTCATTTATTTCTTAATGAACTGAAAAGTCAATATCCTTACGTAATACACTGATCATGTTTATTGTTAAATAATGGAAACCAGTGATAAAATACATTTATTCAGATGAGTGATAATATCGCAACATTGTAAAATTCATTCACACTGTATTTACTCTACACGGTTGATCAAAAGCTTGAGCTATCATAAACTGAATATGTCACGTCATTAAGTGTTGATTATTTTATTAAGTAGTTGCAAAATACTCCACGGAAAATCAATTACGGTCCGAAAAACTCTTGAAAACATTTTTTTATTCAACCACGGTTGAGTAGAGGTTTTTTGGCGAAACATCTAGAAAAATGACAGACTACGTGTCATATATTTGATTGGATAATTACACTCTTACCGCCATATTTATTATATTTCTAGAACTTTCTAGACTATCTAGCTCACGTTATTTAGTATAAATATGCACGATTTTCTGAACAGGCCTAAAGAGTCTTTTTAACACTTCATGCTTTTTCTCTTGTGTCCAAGTTTCTAAGTAAATTTGATCTGGGAGTTATTAAAGGAGGCTAGGAAATCGGATAGAGCGTTCAACTGGCAGACTAATCAGATTTAAAATAAGGATTTATCAAACTGATTGACAAGTAGGACTCATTAACAAAAGCTCTTTTATTGGTTAGTGTAATATTTAGAGATGGAATTCAAGATGTCACATTTCGTTCTTTGATTTCATTAACTTTATATACTACTAATAATGATAGTGATAATAATATCAATAAGAATGTCCACTGTAAGCCAAAACACCGCCTATATATCTGTACCATATACAATTAAAGAAATCCATTCCTGTTGATATAATATGTAAACACATCAATTGTTACTCAGTAACCAAATACATTCATTATTATCTTCATAACTGAGATGACACTTTGTGCATTATATAATATGTCGATGTTAAATACCAGTACTCACTTAGTGATAGAAGCACCTAAGAAAATTTGAGAAATTATCTTTTATTTTTATAGCTAGATGACAGACATTTCTTTAAACGTTCGAATGATGGGTAACACATGTATTTTATTCCTTGTATTACTCCTTTCCCTCCAATAGGTACTTGATACGTTGATTGAGTCAGCTTATCTTGGTGAGGTGACCAGCTGCTTTCTAGGTCCAGTTGACATTGAAGAACGATCACAAGAGGAACGTACTGGTTTACTATGTACTAAAATTTTGATATGGGATACAAAAAAAGAAGTGGTTTATGAGATCCCAGCAGATACGTAAGTTTTGCTTAATTATAAATAAGCTTGTAGCCGAATATAGTCAAGTTTTCACACACAATGCACCACTAAGTGGTACGGATTATGGACAGGTTTAGTTGAAGACTAATAACAACATGGCGACCTAGGATTTTGTTTCATTTCTATGGCTAAATTAACCAATATGATATATATATATATATATATATATATATATATATATATATATATATATATATATATATAACCTACATACATTTACCTCACTTGTCTACTTATCTTATTTGCAATTTAGTCATGTAATATTCTTGTGCATCAAGAAAAAATTTTATAGTTACCAGTTTTCAGATAATTTTTATTTTTTTTAGTTGGCTACTTTTTAAAAGAAATGAACAAACACATGAAATTCACCTGGAAGTTGGTCGTAAGTCTTGAATAATTTTATGAACCTAACATTTGTTGATTTTTGAAGGAAAAAAAGAACTTCTTTAACTCATCTTATGCAAATTCAGGTACATAATTACTTACTCCTGTTACTCCTCGTGTAAGAGAATAGTCCGCTCACCAGCATTCTCCATCCGAATCCATCCTGAGCAATCCTCTCCAGTTCTTTCCAGTTGCTACTCATCATTCTCATGTCTACTTCCAACTCTCGAAGTAGTGTTTTCCTCGGCCTTCCACTTTTCTGTTTCCCCTCAGGATTCCACGGTAGGGCTTGCCTCGTGATGCAGTTTGATGACGTCTGTAATGTATTTCCTATCCGCTTCCATCGTCTTTTCCTAATTTCCTCTTCAGCTGGAAACTGGTTTGTCCTCTCCTACAGTAGGCTATTGCTCATGGTATCCGGCCAACGGATGTTGAATACCTTGAGTAGACAAATATTTATAAATACTTGTACCTTCTTGATGGTGGTTTTTGTAGTTCTCTACGTTTCATATTGAAGATTCTGACTTTTATAGTGGTTGACAGTTGGTTTGAGTTCCATATGTTCCTTAATTGTAGGAATGTGACCCTTGCTTTGCCAATCCTCGCCTTTACGTCTACATCTGATCGTCCTTGTTCATCGATTATGCTTCTCAGATACGCGAAAGATTCTACATTTTCCAGAGTTTCGCCATCAAGTGTGAGTGGGTTGGTGTTCTCCCTGTTATATTTGAGGATCTTCCTTTTCCCTTTGTGTATGTTGAGACCTACTTATGCAGAGGCTGCTGCTACACTAGATGTCTTTATCTGAGTTTATTCGTGTGCATGGATTTATTTATTGATTTATTTATTTCCACACATAGATATTGGTACAAAGAGGCACCAAATACATATGCGCCACACAAATCTCATTTGATATGTGTGAGGGCTGTGATACTGCCTGGGTGCCCAAACCGAAGCAGGTGGTTTTCTTAGGGGGCCACTCCCCGAGCCTTTGACCTGAAGGTCTGATCCAAAAGGCAGTGGAGCATCGTAAGGAGATGCAGTCCCATGGAAGCCGGTGGCCAACAATTGGTTCATACGCCACTTGTTCCTCCAGGATGCTGGAGCCCATGTGCACCATTGGTTTAGAATAGGAGGGCTAGGTCATCTGCGAAGTCCAGATCGTTTAAATGATTCTGAGCTGTCCATTGTATTCCGTGCTTTCCCTCAAATCTCGACGTCTTTATAATCCAGTCAACCATCATAAGAAAGAGGAAAGGGGAGAGTTGACAGTCTTGTCTGACTCCGGTCTTTACGAATCCATTACACCAATCAAATTTTCTTCATTCTGGAAACTGAACTTCTTTTGCTTAATATAAACTGCTTGGTCAAATTAGTATATCTGTGCAACCCAAATATGACTCAATATTATTCTATGTTTATTTTTTTCAAAGTTTGGACACTGATGTGATTACCTGATTGTATGTCCGATGAGATCAATGATCTTTTGAGCAAATGACTCAAAGGTGGAGATCAAACAACGTCACATTCATACAACTTTAATACTAACCATTGAAGATTGACCAGATATATAACTAATTATTTGATAGATATACAGAGCGTATTGATCAATACAATCGTTTACTCCCAAAGTTTGAAACTTTTAAAAATATACCTAATATTAACTTACATTTAAGGGTCTTATATTCTTATCAATCAAGTACATCTACCAATGATGTACAAATATATAAGTAAATAAAATAATTTTTGAGTAATGAGCAATATAATGTTTATCTGATCTATAGAACTTATTGAACTCTATCAAACGAATTGTGACACTGCTATCAGTGTAAGCGACTCGATATTATGTACTCCCAGGCAGTAATGAAACCCTCTGAATAGAAACATTTTTAAGCATGTTGTAACATGTTAAGAGAGTAAAACAAAATCAAAAATACACATAACTTTCAATTAACTAGTTTGATTGTTGTTAAAATATCATAACTAATTCATGGTGAAGAGGGAACATTATCACTGCTTAATTAGAAATGATGATACTGATTCTAATTATACGACGGAAGAGTTTACAAAATCAAATCTCTAAAATATTTTGATTTTGATATAAATATTGAATTTGCTAAGTCATAATTTGACATTCCTTTAAAGATTGATCAAATTTCATTTAAACATATCAACAATCGGATGATCCAAACCATTTTAGATTCGATTAAATCTTATGTGCATTGCACAAGTGAGTAAGTAACTAGACTCAGTAGCTAAGTGGATAACGCGATGGCATTTTAAGCCGATGGGATTAGATTAGAGTACTAGAGTGAACATCAACTGTATGATCCAGGTACATACAACTGACAAGTCCTATACGCGTCCTGAATCCCATTGCTAGCCACCATCTATCTCTGCTTATCATGATTGTGAATTCATGGAAATATCGAGTCAATCCACGCTGAATGCACATATGCCAAAAGATATTGACCAATTCCAGTCCTTAGTATGAATAGGAAAATTTAAATATGGAGAACCAATCAGAAGTAGCCTAATGAGAAGGTCAGTCGATGGCAATAAGAAGTGACCTAGACAACAAGTGCATTTCATTGACTAAGAAATGGGTCAATTTCCTTCGGATTTCAGTGCTTTGTATATGAATGAGTATTTGTGCACTTTATTCAGTAGTCCAATAAAATTTCTTACTCAAGTAGTCAGTTAGGGGGTTAGCGCGTAGTACCCCGTGTGTCAGTATCAGAATTCGGATACCGTCCATCACAACACACAACTAATATAAATGGATTATTCTAAATCATTTAAAAAGAATTTCACGTCAGCTGTTAAATAATCTTCACAGGTTTATTTATTCAATTTTTTCACTAATGATAATATCTAACTAACCAATTGTAAACAATTATATAATATGAAGGCATTATGCCATATCATCCTGTAAACTAAGCCAAAAGTAAAACTCTACACGGTGAATTGATGTTACTACTACTTGACGTCGTAACATCTCACCGAAAAGTAACACGAGAATACACATCTTCAGTATATTATTTTTGCAACAGTTTCAGATGTTCTTTTTCGTATTGATTGTTTGCACAAGCTAGGGGCTATCTGGACTCATTAGCCGAGTGGAAAAAGTAATGACTTTTGAAGAGGACGGTACTGGGCTCGTATCCGGGAATGAACGTCCACTCTAGGATGCAGGAACATCCAGCTGACGAGTCCCAAATAGGAAGAAACACGCGTTCTAGATTGCACTTCTAGCCATTATCCACTATGCTTATAGTTTCAGATATTTTTTAACTGCATTCTTTTAGTTATGCGATTCTATAAAAATGAACATTGAAATTTTCAAAAGGAACACATTCCTTTGACTGACTAATATCAAGAATCACATTGATCAATGTGATTTTTAAGTTTCACCTTTGATAGCATCAAATTAATAATGTTGATAGTAATAGATTTACTCAATCCTAATGTCTGGTTACGAGAATAATTAATAGTACTGAATGTATTTATTGATAAATAAACAACTGGATCTGTCTAAAACATCCTCGAATAACTACGGATAGATCAGAGAGTGATCACCGTAAGACACCATGAATAAACCTAAATATATTTTATTAGAAATATGAATGAAACGAGTAACTGTATTTATCCAAATGGATGAGTGAATTTCGCTCCAAAATCCGATACCTGTTATCTTATATCTGATTGGTTTGTCCATAAATTATAGTCTCGCCAAAACATTTATTCCAACTGTGTACATCTTCCATTTATCTTCAATTTTATACATTCTCGACCTTTTCCATACTACATAAGATGTTTAATTTACGAATTCCAATGTATCCTTCACCTGTTTCTTTAATGAATAGACAACAAGAAAAATATTCCAACTCCCAGGGAGTTATGCACGTTTTAATGAAAAGTCATGACCAGTGTAGTAGACTACATCAAAGCTAAGATCATCACCATGAACAACATTTATTTTGTATTATACAAAGAATGAATTGGTTGGAAATTCAAATCATTAGATTCGAAATAAACAGTTCCAACGAATTGTGTACGTTGTGAGACCTGAAGATCTTTGGTTCAATCTCATGTGTAGTTCTAGTTTGGCTTTATACCCTACTAACTATGGTATAATACATTTTAAAATCAGTATATAACTGTCATATATCCGAGGGCTTATACAATTCTGAACGTATGCCAGTTCAATACATTAACCAAGTGTTTATTTGAACTACTTAATGAAGCAATATCTCTAGTTTAAAATAGGACAACTGCAACAGAAGACTAAACTTTGTATTTACGACTTCCAACTACACGCAAATCTTGCAAGACTCGTGTTGACTGTCTAATACAATGTTAACTGGTTTATTGTATATCCTTCTAAATCTCTAAAAGGTGATGTTCATAAAACTTCAATTTATAGATTACGTAACCAAATATAGAATTCTCAATCTCTACATACTTTGTAACTAGAATTGAACGATTCATTAATCCAGAATTGATTTTTTTTTTCTTCTAATCACAGAAATACATTCCATCGAAACATATGAAGAGGAATCTAATGATGAAATAATCAAATCAGATGAAACGACTCCAGTTGTCGATCAATATGAAGGCAAGTTTTAAAAACAAAAATGAGTCGTTACTTACATGTTAAAGAGTCTATTTAAAAGCGAACAAATTAAATGGATGGAATTTCAGTGAAACTAAAGAAAACGAGACAAGTAGTTCATGATAATCAAAAATGTCTTTGCAGTGTATATCTATCAACTATTCCAAACCGTTCATAGATACTTTTCATTAAAAACTGATATTCCATGTCAAATCACTGAAATTCATGAAGAATTTAACAACTGTTATATATGCAGAGCATACTTTCGATTACAGATTAACTAATATCTAGTATATCTATGCTTCCTCAATGGTACTATGCTTTACACGACATTATAAAGTTTGATTTGGAAAATGTCCACTAATAAGATGTTTCTTGAGTAGATTAAAGAAAACCCTGATTCAAATTGAGTTTCCAAGGTGTCATTATATCGTAGAGTAAACAAACTACAGATTATTATATTTCCTTACAAACTATGAAAATGAATGATATTGATTCGTACTATAAGATTATCGTTAAATCTGTACAAGTGATGAATAACTTATGTTGATAAACTTTAATTTAAGTATTACAGATATCAACACACTATTAACAAATAATCAAACCTAATTGATAGGATTAGATTGAAATCAACTTATTTTACAAACTGTAAAATTTGCTCATCGGGTAATGGCTGATCTTGTATGTTCTTTAAAATCTATTGATCGTGTTAATGTGATCATAAACTAGATGATACTGGAAAGATGGATGGTAGCTAGTAGTGGAATCCAATTTGACGAGCGCTTCGTCCTATTTGGGACTCGTCATATAGATATACCTGCATCCCAGAGTTGATGTTCACTGTGAGACTCAAGACAAATGCCACTCACCTCACTGAACTATTGAAGCGAACGGTACTAGGTTCGAGTCCCAGAGTGAACATCAACTCTGGGATGCAAGTGCATCTAGCTAAAAAGTCTCAAATAGGACGAGACGCGCCTCAAACTGGATTCCACTGCGAGCCACCATCCATCTCTGCTTATAATAATTGTGAATTAATGCAATTAATGCACACATACCAATAAGAGACTGATCAAGTTCAATCCTAAACATCAATGGGAAGATTCGAACAAGCAATACATAATGAATTAGATCATACTGTATTAGTGTACGTTAGACAATGTATAAAAATTGGAATATGCTAAAAATTAAACTGACTGGACTGTGTACTTTTTAAGCATAACAAGCTTTTATTTAGATGCTGTAAATAAGTTGGCTCATTTCAGTAGTATCACATTCTTCTCATTATAACTTTCTGCTTCTGTTAGAAGATCCATTTAAACTTCACTAAATAAAGTATGTTATAGATTTTAAACTGTTTGAAGCTGATGAGAAGCAACAAAATAGAATAAATCCATTTCATTCTGTGAACTATATTATTTTCTAATTTATTAGATGTATTTTTGACTAATAGTTCAATCCCTTCTACTGTGAATGAACTGTTTTTGAAAAGACTCGAAGCTCCTGTGTCTAAGACATATATATATTAGTAAAGGGATGTAAAACATTCAATCTATGTTAAATGGAACTATTGAGTTGAACATCATGTATGTTAGGTTAAACACTTTTCTTAGAACACTTGAACATTATTAATCGCAGATGACAACTATCTCCCGTTCAATAAGGAAATATAATCACATTCAAAACACCATACTAAGATACAGGTACGTTAAATTAAGACATGTCTTGGGTCCAATCCGTGGTGACATGGTCATGGATATACACTGCTGAGGAGTTCTATACTGGAACAAAACAGCTGTCCAGTGCTCTCAAGTTTTCAATGGATATTTAACTAAGATTATTCTAGAATATTAACTAGGAAGTAAAAAAATCAGTTCATTAATTTTTCAACAAAATAACAATAATGAGACACCCATATAAAAGACTATGACAAAAGAGACTGATCTGTATAGCCTTATAAATTAACCATGAAGTTAATTCAGTTGAAATTATTTCATCTATATTATCCCTATTGTTTTCAAATATTAAGTCAACAAAATTGACAATAGAAACACTTCAGAAGATGTACATTATAACACAGAAGATGAATTGAATATTTTACGTGATGGTAAGTTAACTCGAATTTCTAATAAATTTTATAACTAATTTATAGTCATTTTAAATATAATTCATAACAGTTGGGTTTAAGAACAGTTAGGAAAAGATATCAATTAGCGTTAAATTCCAACGTTTATTTTCTGATTTATTATATAGGATCCAAATCAATTTCAAACAGTTCGGAGAGTTTTCACCAAAACAGTTGATAACACCAGATGAACCATTCCGTACTAGTAACTGGGCAGCTGTTTGAATCATAATTTAAGGCTTCCTAAAGATCTACAATGAGGACCCCAAGTGACGTAGCTCAGAAACATTAGGTTTAGCAATGAGCCAAAGTACTTTTGGATCACAGAACTGGAACTCGATGGTTCATATTTCAATATTAAGTTGTCAGGATTGGGTGCAATAGGTTTTGATACTTTTTTTCTCAAGGTGGTCGGTAGAAAACACTGGACATACATTTCGTTTTAGTTGGCACTCTTCACTAGTGGTAAGACTGAAACTTGATTGATAAATCCCACCACCTCTTAGGAATAGGCAAACATGACGCTGATCACCATTCAGTAACCAATCAACACATCTCAGTCCTGTGGGTAATCGGTCAGGGCTGTTACAACACTTCAGATTACGAAACTGCGTGATGTAGTTTCAGATTCACCAGTTCCCTGAAGGCTAGATATACTAACCCGACGAATGCCAATCACCACAAAACCTAGGTTTAAGATTTCCAGTTGATTCCCTCCATTATTGTTGAGTCAGTCAAAAAGCGTAGGCACGCAATAAGGTCAAGCCATATGCAGCAAACTGCTTCTCACTACATCTCTGTCTTCCATGGTTCTTCGGTTGATTTGAGTTTATGATACAACACCAACTTCGGATTTTATAAATCCCTCCTTACAATATCTTGTTTAGTAATCTAAAAGTTATCCCGGCTGTTAAAAATACCGACTAACACCAACTTTAGGACCGACAAAGCCTTGTGCCGTTATGGACGCTAACAATGACGCAAACGTATTTTCGAGTTGATTTAAATCTGAAACTTGGGGTTGTTACATACTTCCTACCACCCCATCACACTTGTTTCTTCGGAAAAAAACCCTACACAAAGCTCGGAATCGTTTCCTCCAGCCGACCTACCATTCTGAGATGTGTTAAGGACAAACCTCCGCTTCGGGTCACATCAATGTGTATACATAAATTTACTTGCTCATGTGGGACACGTTACGTAGGCCGCATAAAGCGATCACCGTCCAAATGCATCTTCGAACTGCATTAATAACGATTAGCTTTCCACCCACTTTTAGCCTCTGTTGATTTATCTCGTTGTGATGACCTGAGTTGTGGCAAAGTCAGCCTAAACACGTGTATTAGGTTATACCAAATAACAATTTAAAATTTTCTCAACAGAACACGAGCGATCAACCACATGTTTCAGTCGCTTAAGCATTTTACCGACGTAGCTTATAAATATAATCTTTTCAAACCAACTATCGTAAACCGTGTAAGCATGGTCAACTCCGATTAAAACGAAAATAGTAGGTGAATAATTAGTTCCCCCAACATCAATCAATCTGAATTGTTAGTCATTGCTAGGTAGGCTAAAATATCTATCCAGTTATTGAACTACATATAAATAATTAGGCGGTCAACTAGTTAGAACAGATTCGTTGATATTTATTAAAAATGTGTAGTCGTCACATGCACAGGACGTACTTATTAAGTGAAATGTACTATCGATTCTTCTAACCCAATGGATATCTTTACAAGCTAACAATTATACGAATCACTTCTCATTACTTTCAAGAATAAATTAAATAACTTGCAAAAACCTGGTACCAAAAACACGGCCATCTTTTACTGAGTTATTTATTCTTATTTATCATTCAATAAAGTTTTGACAGTAACTAACAATAATGACAATCGATTCACCCTGTCATAATTAAATTCCTTCTCTTTCTAGCTCAACTTCTAGTATCTACCATAATCAAGAAATCAGAAATGAATTTAATGCTCTTTGAAAGTCAACGTAAGTTAATTGTAATAACAATTATATAATCGAGTGAAAACCAATAATTCCCTAGCTTTGTTGCAAACCATCTTCAATCGAGCACTGACTATAGCAGCACTAGTGATTAGAAAATAGGTGCACAAACCTGTATTTATTAGACGCGTCCTAACCAATCACATACCTTTGAACTCCAAAATACGCACAACCTACGGAGCTGTGAAATCACTTTTTACTCGGTGTATGTATGACCAACGTAACTGACGAAATTTCTTGATATGGATAAAACTACCGTTCAGTATGTTTTTTTTCTTTTAGAAATCTGATCCCCAAACAAGCACTTGTGATCTATTTGACATGCGCGGTTGTAATTTAATATTAATGCGTTTTTCCGAGTGACAACGATACAGCTACAATCTGGTTCTTGAGGTCTCGCTTGCTAACGTTGATTCGTGAAAAAATGTTAAGTCTATTAAGGATCATGGTGCAGAACGTCCTAACTTACAGATAACATGCACTAAGTTTAGGAAGTAATACAAGAACATATTTCTTTACCTAATTCATGAAACACTCATAACTCATAGAAATAAGACATGAGTCGCTTCTAAACGGCACATACCTTCTATTACTTAATAGATTGCTTGGTTAATTTGAAATCCATGGAAATACTGGTTACGATAATTTAAATGACAGTAAAAATAACAACTAATGATATATGTTTTCGTGATGAAATCCGAGGTTTACATAAAGCTAATAAATTTAAGCAATTGCGCGTAAAAACATATCAAACTATTACTTTACAATGTTTACAACTTCATCGTCAACTTAGGAGAAATAAGATCTAATGAGAAGTGAACCTGAAAACTAATGCCAGAAATCAAAGAACAGAAATACACACAAAAGAAACGACATTCAGTCTCAATAGGTGTGAAAGCTAGCGACACTATGACTGTTCAAACAAATAAAAAACACGCAGCAAGGACACAGATCCACTGAACAATTACTGTGAATATAGAATCATAAACAAATACAAGAAATCTAGCTCGAATAATTCAAGACTCCTGGAGAGTTGAGTGCATTTTAGATAATAAAAGTAGTATTTAGCTCACTTCACGCCATTATGTCGGATGAATATTATTATTTTTTGCTGATTAATTTCAGGTTAATTTACCGCGAATACAAGATGATTTCGCCAAACTTTCAGTATTATTTTTGCATACTTAAAAAAGCAACAGAACCAACACAAATGCAGTTCATATTTCTTTTATTCAATTATTTCTATTTAGTCTCTTTGATGTTATGAGAATACATATATGCAATAAAATATGCAGGAAGTTCAAAATAGAAAAAGTGGTTATTTTCTTGTAAATTTTATAACCTAGTATGTGAGTTACCATGAATCAATGTAAACTACGTGGACACCTTTTGAAGAATTTTATGAACGAAATCAACCTACGGGTACTTAAACAAAAGTTTAATGTTCAACAGCTCAATATACAATAAGCTGAATAGTTCTCCTTACAATAACGAAGCACTACACTAGACAACTGATGCAATATTAACTCACTAAAATGATTTATAAGAGCAGTCTTTAAGCACAACATAATACCGCTAAAAACGAGTTAGTTAGCTTAAATTAAGTGCCTGAACGAATGTAGAGAATGAAATGTGTCAATTTAATGCAGTCTGTCCAAGAGAACAACGTGAAACAACAATGACTCATCACACTAATCAATATTCACTATTATTTCATTGTATTGTCCAGTCAGAAACAGGAAAACTTATCAAACAGATATAATGAGAAAATAAACAATTTTCATAGAATCAATATGTTTGCACAGAAACTGTTAGAACAATGATAAACAAGCTTGATTTCTATAAACATAAATCAGTGATGCTATAAAGCCATTTATGCCTTGAATTTGTACAGGGAGTTGTTTCGGTTTTATGGCTGCAAGTGAATAGTGACGGTTAATGAATCTAGACTCCAGGTGGTGGTGGAGGAGGGGGTGGGTTGGGTACAGGAGCTGCGTAACCTCCCGCATAACCTGCCCAGTAATCCGTAGGTGTGGGCAGGTAGTAGGGAGGAACCATTGCTGTACCTAAAAAGGAAAAGAAAATCTTTACAACAAACACCAACAGAATTCACACTAAACAAAGAGACCGAAAAGCCACATGCGGAAAGATCTCAACAATACCCTTACCAAAATACAACAGGTTTAGCAGCCCGGCGTAAAAACAGGACTAATCTTTACACATTATATCTGATTTTGAGAAAAGTATCTATACTGTTACCGAAACGGTCGACACTATAACACCAATTCATGAAGCAGTTCCAAACCACTGAGTGGCATTCGCAAGCGTTTCTTTTATGCAATACATAAGAATTGAGAGAAATAATCCTCATTAAGGTCTTACGTAGATTGGTGACTTGAAAGTTGATGAGTTTTGATCGATTTACGTCAAGAACAATAATTAAGAATTTCGAAAAAGTTTATAAACAATTATCATGTTGCCAACTACGTCGAAATGCAAGTAATTAATTGCGATGAGTCTGTACACTGTTGCAAATAGATTCAAATTATTTGAGACTACTTACCGGGAACAGGTACACCACCTGGTACTTGTGATGAGCTATCGCCCCAAGAAGCTGATCCAGGGACGGAGGGATGCCAATGGTTTAATGAGGAACCACCATTTGTTGCAACTGGCACTTCGGAATAGGCTCCTGCAACTGCGGGGACTCCGGAAGTAGGATAGGCGGCAGTTGACGGATATCCAGGCATAGGTGGTACGACTACAGGAGTCGCCCATGGAGTAACAGGTGTCACCATAGGTGCATACTGAGAGGGAGGAGGGGGTGGTGGTGGCAAAGCAAATGCATACTGGTTGGGAGAAGAAACCGTGGTTGAGACCGTTGAAGTTGTTGTTGCAGTAGTACAATTTGTTCCAGCGTCTCCATCGTCGTCGTCATCAAAAGCTGCAACACCAGGAGGCGGGGGCTGACGAGTCGGACGGGTAGGTTGTGGTTGTAAAGCATTAAAGCCTCTAAGACCTGATAATAAGACGGATGCAATAGGAGCACTGTGATATATTGGTAAATCACGAAAATTAAATAACAGTAGTCAAATAGTTCCTCAGTGAATTTTTAGGTAATATAGGTACACATCCAAAAACTGAAGAAAAAGTACTAGAAGTCGCACTATATTTTAAATTCCGAGTGAGATTTTCTATAGAAAATAACTGGAAGAGTGGCATATTTCTTAATACTTCATCTAGTGATAAAATCTAGTGCTAAAGAATAAAAATAGCTATCAGTCAAATGAATGTGATCGCTCTGAAAACCATCTTTTATGGACTAAAATTGTTAAGTCGGTCTGTTAGCCTGACTTTCAATAGCATTAAATCTCCAACAATCTGTCCAACCTCTTTCTTTTTAGTAGTTGAACTGCAATAGTCTAAAAAATAACATTAATCCTTTACCTGTTGTGAATCGTTAACTGTTAATATATTCTGATCAGGGTACCGAAATTCACAGGATAGAAGCTAAATAATGCTTGACATGAACGCACGTTATTTCTACAATTATTACTCCAGTTAAAAGTCAGTAATGTTATGATGTACCGCTGAAGCATCTACAATTCTGATAAACAATTTCAGCATATAGATGTTGGACTTTATTTACTTTGCTGGCAGACTTTTCACTTGAGCTGTTAAGAAATGGTATATAGAAGATAAGTGTTATTTCTTGATGGTCTTTAGTTACATCCTGGGTGTGATCTAAGCGCAGATAAGATTTCGATACAAAATCTGACGAACAGATGGATAAATAAACTAAGATTTAGAAATGAGAACAAATTAACTAAATAGGACAATGGGACGTTATTTCTAAAAACTAACTTTGATAGAACGATGTGCTTATTCGCCCAAAATACTTCGACAACTATCCACTTAGATTCTATATTTAGAGTTACATTTACTATTTATCCAATGTCAGTCTCAGCATAATAAATCACCAAATTTTCTGAAACCTGTCAACGAAGAATAAATGAATGGTAACTGCTAGGAATTATTGATGGACCATCATTACATATATTCTCGTTGGATAATTATTAAATAATTAGATATATATATATTCCTTTTGTCACTAGCTTTCATTTGACCTATTGGTTACTGTTATATGACTTACCATCTTTAAATTATTCCCAATTTATTAAATACAGTATCCCATACTCACATCCATTTTGGGCTCGGTCTTGTATAACTGTTATTTTTAATTTTATAGTGATGCAGTTCCATCTGCTTGTATATAAACCACGTATGTCTGGAATAAACGATTCACACAGCGGAGGCTAATGTTCATATGCTGGACTGAACGGGTTAGGTTAGGCGATGAGCTACTACACAGAGAACCAATAAGGCTCAGGGTTGACTCAAGGCTGTTTTGACATATCACTAGTTTAGCAGAGGCGGGGTCAGAGAAGTCGAGCTTCTGATTAGTGATTTTGTCACGTGACAGTTGCCGGACCACAGGGAATAGCAAAACCTTAAGTGTTTATATAAATGTATAAATCCAACACAATTTTTCGGAGTTACTCGCCTGACTATTATTGAAAAACGTCATGAGAATGAAGTTTTTAATTATCGTAGTTACTAGTGACTAATACTAACATTTGTTTACCCCAAAAGACTATGGTTCAGGTTGTTAAGATGCCTTATAACAGCATTTAAGAATGAAGTGAATCCCAATCAAATATGCTCCTTGGTTAAAGACTTTTTGCTAACTAGGACTTTAATGTTGTATTAAAGCTGACAGTTGGGAATATTCAGCTTCCTATTTTAATCGATCTCTACTTTTGGATATAATCACTTATATCTTGAACTCGTGAATTGATTTCGAACTTCGATTTCTATTCAGATCTTTTCCCAATTTAATTAATTGCATTTCATACCAAAACATGAGGTCGAACCCGTACTCGCCTGGTTCTACAAACCCATAAACAACTATTTTTATATACCATTTAGAACTAAAACCATACCGGGAGGCAAACCTTGTGAACCACCTACACCGAGCTCCGCCATTAATGCAGTGTATTCGCTATCCATTTTGGCTCTTTCACCGGGGTTGGCATTAAGCTGATCAAGATATGCCTGACCACCCAACAGTGCTTTGCAGTCGGTTGACAGATGTCCAGCACCTAGAATGGAAAATAAACGTCAGCTAATTACCAAAACAAAGATTTTATAAGAAAAATGAGCACTGATAGCTGTTGGCAGACAGCCTGATGTTGGTAGGTAGCATCCTAGATCCACACAGAAAGTGGAGTAGTGATTCTGTGTTGTCTTTATGATGTGCTTAAGACTTAATAAACCAATAGGGAACTGTGCTATAAATAGGTGATGACTGATGATTACCCTACACCGTCCGAAATCTATTAAGATAACAAGATTGATAGGTGATTCGAAAATATTCTCATAAAGTTTGATAAAACTTATTAAGAAACATGTAAACGAACGTTTTGAAAAGAAATGAACTGCTATAACAAGTTTTTACTTGTGATCCACAGATGATATTTGAATAAACTTAAGGACATAAAGTAGATGGACGTTTGAGCTTATGCATAAACACTATTACCTTAGCAATACGGTTAAACGTCTTATTAAAGCGACATAGTTACAAATTTAGAAACTGTAGTGACAACAATGGCGCAATTTGTGTTAATCACGTAGATAACTTCCCACAAACCTTACAAAACTGCATTTTCCTTATACTAAATCATTAAAACATAACCAAGATTATCGACGAAATGTTTTGTATGTTAGACGATAACTAGGAACGACACACTAAGAAACTATTACAAATTCATCCACGTAATAGTTTAGCTGATGTAACTTAGGTAGATGATAGAGTTAGACATTGAATGCAGCTCAAGCGAACTTACCTCCACATATACCACATTGGATTTTGTTGGTAGCAATTGACTGGGCTTCGGCCATTGCACGTAGTTTCATCAAACCTTCGTGCTCACGCAATGTCCCATTAAGTAAAGCAAGCTCGCGCAACTGGGCTCTTCGAAGATCGTTTTGGCTCTCTGGTATCTCAATTCCTTGTCTTATTATCTCATTAATTTTTTTAACTGCTTTGTCTACACATTCGGCTGAAGGTGCTGAGATGAAAGCGTGTAGAGGCTCGTCTTCACCAGGTAAAGGAAGTCCGTCTCTCCTTCCAACTTTGCCTTCTTTAACAGAGCCCTTTCCGCGAATTATTACTTTTGCGCCCGTCTGAAGTTAAGAAAAGTGAGGAAACACTAAAGATAACTTTGGAGTGCTATAAAAGATTAAACTTCTAGGATTATAAGCGATACATAAAAATGAAATCCAGAGGGAATAAAATTAAATACGACAATGACGCCAAAAGAAATCAAATTAATTCCTTAACACATTCCTGATACTTTGCTTGTACATTATAGAAAAACTGCAAGGATTTATAGCTTCTAACTTCGTATTACACCTGGACACGAAGACATTTAAGCTTTTTTATGTTATTGAGTATTTATTACTACACTTATTTCTTAATTTTCCAGTCATAAATATGACTTACCCGGTCAGCTCTGTTGTTTGGAAATCCTTTTATAGAAATTCGAGGGCATGAATTTGCTCATTACATTACTGTATAGCACAAGTGCTATATCCCAGTCTTGTGGTCAGTCATCTACAACGTGGGACGAGGCGCATATATACATCGCTTCGCGTTGCCATACCTCATTAGCACCAAATTCACAAAAATTATTTCAATAGTTATAATATATTACAAAAAGACTGCATATAAGGATATGATACAGAGAGAATTTGTTCGTAGAAATAAAGGTTTACTTACTTATTTAAACACAAACATTGGTACAAGGAGGCACCAAATAGATACGTGCCGCATAAATCATTTGATTTGTATGAGGGCTGGGATACTGCCTGTGTGCCGAAGTAGGTGGCTTTCTTAGGGGACAACACTCAGAGCCTTTGACCTAAAGGTCTGATCCACAACGAAGTGGAGCAACGTAAGGAGATGGTAGCCGGTGATCAACGATTAGTTCATACGCTATTTATTTCCTTAGGATCCTGGAGACCATGTGCACCATTCGTTAGGAATCAGGGTTTCCCGACTCCGTGTCTGCCAACCTGATTAAAGCGCCGGACATTCGCTTTTCATTCTCTCGTAACGTAAAAAACACCCCCGGTATAAAGTGACGTTAATCAAACAGTTTAAGGAAAGACAAAGAGTGTATGCACCTACGTCATCGTGATTAATACTGAGCCATGTCACTCAACCAAGTAGCTTGCATCTACCAAAATGACTCAGACTAGAAGTTAGTGACTTGATGAACTAGTGCCATTTTTTTCCTTTGGTCGCCCTCATTTTCACCTATCCGTCTTCAACGCTAATCATCGTGCACCGTGGAAATCGATGGTTGGGCATGCGTAATACGTGACCCAACCATCCCAGTCGATGAAGACTCACAACCTCATCAAATGTCGTACCGTAAGCAGATTTGAATAGCACCAAACAAAACAACTGCACACTTTTAGGCCCAACAGCATGCTCAACTTTTAAACAAACAACACTGGACAACTTTACTCGAATAATTGAAAGATTTGATAACGTGGATGGGGATGAGACAGATGAATATTGATCATCCCTAATTTTTCACAATACAGAACAATAAACATCGTGAATGCAAGACATCTTGATAAGTTAGTTACATTATTTAAGATCATTATTAAACTGACCCCGAACAAACTGGTGTAACACTACGCCTCAAGAGCTCAAACAAAATCCATTGCTTTGTAACACTTCGATCTAATCAACATTTTACCTTATTTAACAGAATTGTGAAAATTCGAAGTAGGAAATTCTGCACAATAGCTTTTTAAACCTTAGTCGATACTACTCTACAACTACACTGACTTCACATCCAGAAGTTCGTAATTATCATGTGGTAAGGAGACCGCTATTTGTTTCTCCATGAGGTCCGACGAATTAACCGTGTAATATGATTATCTCTAAATCATTTGGTGTAGGCGCTATTAACATAAAGAACTTGATGATACGCTAAAGTTTTTACATAAGCAGTGAAGAATTAACGACACCCACTGAGGAAAAGCGGTTAGAAAAACTCAACTGCCAGCCCGCAGGCTGTCACCAGATGGGGACGAATTATGACAAATCACGCAACTTACTCCACTTGTTTAAACGCTATCCGAAAGATTTTACATGTGGAGTAGGAAATGGACCAACTAAATTGAGCCTTGTGAGCATAATTTGGGTTTATGGAAAACAGCCATGAAGAATCATCAGGATGGGAAATGAATACTTAGGTACAGCACTGGAACTTTCGGACCAGAAAATAACGAAAAAACACAAAGCTGGCACTAACAAGTATTTTTACGCTTACAAAATGACTTACAGGAAACAAAACTCTACAACGCAAACTACTTACATCTTTTTCTAGTGCCTTAAGCGTATTCCCACGCGGTCCAATCAAGAGCCCAACGAAGTTGATATCCGGGTGGTTATCTTGGGGGATAAATACTTTGTCCGTTATTCTATTCTGTGGAGCTCTACAAAGTTATGATTATCAAAGAACTAGTACTTGTAGTCAGAGGGTGGTTTATATTCAGGATTAATTTCCATGAGTTGTTGTACAAGTGCGTGACGATCATCTTCCAGCTTTTTGCGGGTCCTATATTCCCTTGTGTTCAAGCGCTTACCGTCGCTGCTATATATAGGTTCCGGTGAAGGGGATCTGAAATAGAAAATATTTGTTAGCATACGGAATCCTGTTGGGGTCAATTACAAAAATATTAGCTTCGTGAACCCTTACCCATTAGCTACTTTCTGATCCACAGTAAATAAGACCAGCTACATAATACATTAATTCTAAATAAGTGTTAGTTTAACGTGAAGTCTATACCAACTAGTCCAGACTATTCTACACAGAAAACTTTCAAACAACTTTACAGCACAATAACCAGTTCAACAAATAAGTGAGATCTACACAACTGTAAAATATACAAATTAAAAATAGCTAACCTGTCTTCCGGATTTTTAGGGATACCCAAATCTCCACTTTTCAAGCGTCTAGACATATCTTCGATTTGAAGCTGAACTATACAAACGAGATAAGCCAAAAAGTTTCACATACTGATGTACACTCTTTCCTGTTGCGGTGTAAGATTTGGGGGCAGCTGAGTAGGCATACCAGGTATAAAAATCCGATCTGTTTCAACTGCAGACCATCTGCTCTTACGTTTTCGAGGAGCTGAATCTGAAACACATTAAGCCAGAAAAAATTACCTAATCCTACCTGGAGACTTTTCTGGCGATCTACTGCGTCTACGTGACCGCGAACTCGACCCATCAGTTATCGCAAGCATACGTTTACTCATGCTCTACAAAAATGGCTACCGTCAACCTTGATTCAGTCGCTATACTCGACATCTGCCTTGATATTTCAAACAACTAAAGAAACTTATTTTTCGAACGAATGAAAACCAAAGTAAATACACGAATAAAAAGCCGTAAGAATAACTTATGTTTTTGGATATTTTGATAAAGCTTTAGTAAAACACGTATGTATTATGCAATACCTTGTCTAGAGCTTTTATAAACCGATTGATTTAGTTTCGCTCGATTATTGTTGTTTCAGTATGGTTCCAGGCATTCGGCATTGTCCAACAGGTAGTTTTCTAGCTATTTGGGTGCACTAATTCCAGTCAGTTTGGTAGTTATTTATGAATTTGTACATCTTGTAGTTTCGTGCTGTGTGCTACTGATATTGATAGATATGAGTGAAATATCTGGTAGCAAAAAGTTAAGAGGATAGAAGAAAAGAGAACGATTGCTGTGGAAATGAAGGAACAGTGAAGTCTGAGATGATTGATTGATATTTTGCAAATGAAGTATTTACTGTATGGATCTCAGATTTTACTAGGATGTTCTGTAATTTTGTGTTCAAACACACTTGATTGCCCCCACTTGAAATATCCAGCTAGCAGTATTTGGTCGAATCCCAGATACGGTATCACCTGCAGTATATCATTCTTTTGGGATTTAGAACCTAAGAGAACGGGCGGTTTATCCTGTCAAGCAAATGTTTTGTGCCGTTCATATTGAAGGAACACGAGGATGATTTTGTTACCTCAGCTTATTCATTACCGCTCACTATAGCGGCGTTAAGGTGGCTGTCAATGTATATCGCGGATCCACCTGTTTTGCGTAATGTTGCATCTGAAAATCGTCATGACATGCAAGCTCACTTCTTCATCCATGATGTCATGCGATAGCTATGTTTCAGTCAGGATTATGATCTTCGGATCTAAGTGAAAGCCTATTTTTATGGTTGCTGATAGCTTACATGTTAGTCCTCCCACGCTGTCATAGAGGGACCTGACGATTTGCATCACCACCTGGTGTTCGCCTAAGGCAGCATCTGTTTCCCGGTCTTTAGGGAGATTGTCGTCTGAACAGTGTTGGCCAGTTCTGTGCAAACTGGCCTGTGTATGCTTTAGCCTGAATGGTGCGTCCCAAAAACAGAACCGCAGTCTCTGTGATTTATTCTTTTGCTTGCTGATCAAAGCCAACCGACACCAAACTGTGTTTTATTGGATTTTTAGCTGTTGCCCTATCGATCTGAGTTGACTTTCACAATGTCAGGTGTGATTAGATAGGTTGTCTTTTGAGTTGTTCTGAGCCTGAGGAGCCTCACTTGCATTTCGGTCTCTGAATTTCAAATCAATCAGACACGAGGACTTGACGGTCGCAAGGTGCAATGGATGTCTTAACCCGGAGTCACTGACTGTTGTGGTGGTGTCAGTGCCCATGCTACGAGATAACCAAAGAGGCCGTTGCATATCGCGTTCATGGGCTTAATTCTGACTGCCACCCATCGGATCAGACACTTCATTAGCCATCATGCAGGTTTGTTCACGAACGTTTACTGACCTCCTACAGCCCACGGTTTGTCTCTTCAAACTCGGGTTTGGGTGGTTCGCTTAACCGACGGTCTCTGGAATGTCGGGAAAATTTCCTCTGTAACGTCAGCTACCTCGTTCTGCGTTACAGCTCTCATACAGATTACATATCTTGGGTGAAGTGATACCTTTACTCGGCATCGTACAGGATTTGTCCTACTCATCTTACTCGAAGGCTGTTCTACTTTCTAATAGGCTACTCTTCGATATTAGGACATTGAATAAAACCAAAGGGTCTTGTCTAACGTCCGTGTCTCCCACGTTCAGCGTTTCGTGAGGTATTACTTTGTTATTTCCCTTCCCAACACTCACCTACTACTCCTTATTGTTAACAGGTACGGGATGTTAGTAGTGGTCGGTATTTTGTTGACGCACGAGCTCGGGTTATGGCTCGTATAGTCACACGTTCGGCTTAGCCTGTGGTGGGTGAACTCGAGATACTAGTAGGAGTGGCTGCTATTACATTATATGGGATTTAATTATTGTCTTTAGTTAGTTCTGTGAGTAAATAGTGACATTGGACCATAATCACACAATCCTCAAAGCTGAACACGAGACTACTCGGGAAATAGATATTCAATATTTGACACGGAGAAATACCTAACGATGGAAAAGGCGGGAACAATTAGTTGAATTAATTGGATTTGATCGGATGGCATGGCTCAGTCATGCAGGCGTGGTCCTTGCGGAACGTTACCTTATATCTTTTATTAGTATTAAATATATCGTTCATTCTCTAGCCTAAGCTTGTTCTCCGTCACGTATTGGTAATTGTTACGATACAGTGAGTTGATGTAGTCGATGGTGTGAATTCCACGTAAGATCTTATAGACTAGGCAGTTGCATCATGACAAATCTACAATTTTAGGATTAGGTCTATTATTAGGGCAGTACTAATATCATAGTAGACCATAATTCTACAGGCATATTTTCCCTACATTGTGTGTAAACTTACCAGAACCGTGGAGAGGGATGACTTAACGTGAACTCTTAGTACTACACAAACGCAACAGTACCACAGCAACAGTGAGTCCAGCCACCACAGACGATCATGCGATGCGTCTATCGTTTTTGTGTTGTTCTTACCAGTAGTTCTCACCACAAGCAGTTTGGTATGTCCTTTTCTCCAACTTCTTTATTGCACACTAGTCTTAAAAGGATTAGGGAACTGGGTAGTAATTTGATCCTGAATACTTAATTGAAGATTTGGTTTTAGTGTTTAAGCTGAATGGTCCATGTTGTACACATTACTACGAGGTACCTTATATGATGTCGTCCTTAGCTTTCTTATAGTTTTATCTCTAGACACGGGTATTTTCGACCTATTACTAACCTCTGAATTCGAAGTTCTACCTCTATTAGTCGCCCTTATTGTTCTAGTCATATGCAATTGCTTCAATACAGGTAGGACTTGCCTTTAGGTCGACTTAAACATCATCTTCAAAACTAACATTTGTGACGTACATAGTATTACCTAAATAATCCAGCATGAACTCAATGAGTTAAGTGCTGGAATTTAAAACTCAACACGGAGAAACGTGGCTATGTTTTGGAAGTACGTCTGTTAAAGTAAAACTAACGCCTGATGAGAAAGTATTCCATTAACTCAAATTAGTAACTGGCCTTGTGTGCACTACCCGCACAGTATAAACTATTCTGAACACATCTCCGCTAAAGCATCCCAAATGCAAAAATTGTTTGGCTACAAAACAATGACTCCTCAGAACCCATCATCATCGAATAACCACTAATATTTAACTGTCTTCCCTCCGAAATATGCATGGCAGGCGGTTTGAATGCATTTGTAGGACTTCTCGGTGAATCCCTCTCTTGCATTGATCTCCTAGCACGCACGAACATATCTGCGCACTACCTAACTTCCCTTGGCAGGACTAAATTCTTCATAGTTAACGTAAGCATTGTTGACGACCTAATATTATTTGTGAACAGTTCAGCAAGCACTTATCGCAATGCTAAAAAACTGGAACTGAAAGCTCCATCAATACATTTCCAACGCTGACATCCAGACACCTATCGAGAATTGATTTTATGCCCTCCAAAATCAAACGGGCCATAGCTGCCCATAAAAAGTCCTATGATGTTGAACCTGACGGGATCCCTTCATCATTTGTGAAATATGGGAGTAGAGAATTCCCACTATTCTGTTAGAAACTTTTCAACCTATCTATGGAATATGGGACATATCCATCTGTATGGAAAACATCTCTTATCACCCCTAGATTCAAAACCGGATCACGTAGTGATACTGTTAACTATAGGTCAATTAATTTAACATCCGTGCTCTCAAGAACCATGGAAAAAATCATCCACAAACAGCTTTTATCATTTTAACTTTCGGCTAGTCTGATTAGCCCTTCCCAACACGAGTTTATGACTAAACGCTCAAGTTTCCCATCACACCTGGATTTTTTTTATCAAATTACCCACAGAAGAGATGTTGGTTAACCAGCGATAATTCTTTATCTCGATTTTAGTAGGGCTTTCGACAGTGTCTCACACAAACTTCTTCTAAAACTCTTCATTTGGCATACAGAATCCCCTTTTATCTTGGCTCAAATCTTTTTAAGAAGAACGTAGCCGAACCGTTCGCTTTGGGTCCTGCTACCCTAAACCTGTGAATTTAACCAGTGAGGTTATACAAGGAAGTGTGATTGGTCCATTAATCTTTCTCCTTTTTATCAGTTACGTGTGCTCCCTCTTTCAGTATGGTAAACCCTTCCTTTTTGCCGATGACCTAAAAGTAGTTTATTCATTCTCTTCTCCCACCAAAAAAGCTATATTTCAGCGGTAATCCAAGAAGAAATAAACAAGTTATACGAATGGACTGTTTCGTGGAGTTCGCCATTTAATGTTGGCAAAAGTGGATTTATTCACATTGGCAGCTGCCTTAACTTAAATCTGACTACACACAAACAAACACTCAAACCTCTCAACACTGTCTGTGACTTAGGTTTAAGATTTAGAAACAGTCTGAACTTTTCTGAGCACATTGCATCTGAAGTATCCAAAGCTAGGAAGCTCATCGGATTCATAGTGATAAACTTCAATAATATCGATTCGAGATTATTATTATACAGAAAATGTATCTTACCCACTCTTGGATATGGTATTTTAGTTTACAGTAATTGTAGGCATAACGACCTTATTAAAACTGAAGGTGTTCAAAGAAGGTTCACCAAAGCTGTTCTGGGATATTCCGACAACAAAGACTATCACGAAAGATGTCAACAATTCAAATTAGAACCTCTCTGGATTGAACGTATCAAATTAAATATCGTCTTTATCTACCGGCTTATTAACGGTATTTCCTACTCTTCGGTATCCACCCCCTTCATTGTCTACGATATCATCCCAAAGTCTACGCAATAAGGAGAATATTCCAGTGATTCCAAGAACCCACACAAACGTACTCCAGAATTTTTTCGTTATTCGCTGCTCAACCATGTGGAACAGACTGCCAGTGAACCTCCGTTGCAGTGAAACTACAACCCGGTTCAGAAGTCTCCTTGATGATTTTCTTTCCGAAAGTGGATTATGTCGCCTATTGAATATCAATGTATTTAACAATGAGTTATACAAACAACGTCCGTCATCCATCTAATTGACCGAAAAGCGAAATGTAACCCTTGAAACTTTTTACG